TTCTGAAACTTTTTGTGTTTTACATCATGTGATCTGCCGCAGAGAGCTCTTAATATCATCTTTGACTGTTAAAAACTTTCAAACATCTAACATGTATAACTTAAAATGGACAGTCAAGTTACAAAACAAATAAATCCGTGATGAGTTAGAGGGTCTGTTTTATAAATATTGGTTTAGTCTAACTTTGGTGTAAAAAAAAAAAAAAAAAATAAAAAAAATTTTTAATAACAAACATTGACCAAGATTTGTAGTTCTTACAAAGCACAGAGGAAGGATGACTCTGTCTGAAGTTGTAAAATACAGTGGAAATGGATATAAACAAGGTACTGTTGACAAGTGACGATCATACGCATCATAAAATCTTTCTGAAAGGAACCTAAATATAAAATGTTCATCATATGTTTCATATGAGTACATTGTAAATATATTGCAGGCTTATGTCTTTTCTTATTTGTTTAACATCTTGCAAATAAATATCAAATAGTTATGTAACAGGAAAATCAAAATAGTACACATGTTGGCACTTTTTGTTTACAAGTTATTCCAAACAAAATAAAAAAAAAATTCATATGAATAGGCAGCAATGAATAAAGAAAATAAATATAATTGCAAGCCGCATATTAGAAAAAAGGTCTAATAACAATATTTATGTTGATATTGAAAATTAGTGTCTATAACAAATTTTCTTTTGATGTTAATGTCCATTTAAAGGAATCTACACATTTGTATATTATTCAATATATAAAATAGTTAGAGTTATTAGATGTGAGTACAGAATTACATTATACATTATAAATGTTGATTATATAAAACCGCCAGTGATGCATGTAGACAAAGATCACAGATATAAAATATATATATCACAATAGATAATTGTCTGGTAATACATTGAGGAATAGTTAATATTATGGCAAATAATACTGAGTTGTAATTAATATATCTTAGAAAAAAAATAAGAAAAATTATTTATCTTACAAACAACAGAACGACAAAAGTTTTATTTTTTTTTCAGGTTTACAATATGTGACCTTACAAATCAAAAAAAAAATAAGAAGAAAGGTAAAGCTATTGAGCATCATTCAGAATTTTGAACCATTTACAGAAAAAAGTGCATTGCCATTAAATAACTGTCACTTTGTCACAAGGAAACATTATCATGTTTGACTGATGGGTTTTTATATGTGTTTACATCAAGTACATGTACTTATGGTTAAATAACACTAGTTCATTCTAAAACATCTTAAAACTCCTCCTACTTTTTATAAACTTAAGGAAAGCTCGTGTTTATCTCTGACACAAGAAATTACAGGTTTAAAATTATCTGCTACATAAAATACCAATAATGTTTAGATGTGCATTAAAAAAAAGAACTTTACATCATCAAAAGATATCCCTTAATCAAAACATGTATATATATTGATGAATCAGAATTATCACTGGGGAATTTAAAAAGAATATTTTCCTAATGTGATGACTTAATAAGTGTTTAATAATATCTTCTAATTCTATCTTATCACTCTATGTATTTCTAACCAAGCACCAAAAGCCCATTGTTTAACACAACAATGAAATACAATCACATTTTATAAAAGTCACCACACTAAATATATATAAATACACTACATCTATGAATGATTTTCATTTTACTGATTCCATATAGGGGATGAAACTAGTAAAAATGATTAAAGTTTAAACACCTACCATTTAAAAGTTAGCCACCTTTTGTTGTCCAAATGTTCAGTTTCACCAAAAGCTTGATACAAAAAGGATGTCTTTTTCAAAACAGTCATGAAATGGACCTATGTTACATGCCCTTTACTACACAACCTCTATTTTTGTGATTACACTACTTCAATTTTGTGTTTACATCACCATTAGTTCTGTGTTTACACGACCTCTATCTTTGTGTTTACATCACCATTAGTTCTGTGATTACACGACCTCTATCTTTGTGTTTACATCACCATTAGTTCTGTGTTTACATGACCTCTACTTTGTGTTTACATCACCATTAGTTCTGTGATTACACGACCTCTATCTTTGTGTTTACATCACCATTAGTTCTGTGATTACACGACCTCTATCTTTGTGTTTACATCACCATTAGTTCTGTGATTACATGACCTCTATTTTGTGTTTACATCACCATTAGTTCTGTGTTTACATGACCTCTATTTTGTGTTTACACGACCTCAATTTTGTGTTTACATCACCTTTATTTCTGTGATTACATGACGCTATTTTGTGCTTACACAACCTCAATTTTGTGTTTACATCACCTTTATTTCTGTGATTACACATCCTCTATCTTTGTGTTTAGATCACCTTTAGTTCTGTGGTTACATGACGCTATTTTGTGTGTACATCACATCAATTTTGAGTTTACATCACCTTTAGTTCTGTGGTAACACGACCTGAATTCTGTGTTCACATCACCTCTATTTTTATGTTGTCACCACCTTTATTTTTGTGCTTATGTTACATGCCCTCTATTACATAACTTCTATTTTTGTGTTTACACGACCTCTATTTTTGTGTTTACACGGCCTCTATTTTTGTGTTTACACCTCTATTTTTGTGTTTACACCACCTCTATTTGTGTTTACACCACCTCTATTTTTGTGTTTATGTTACATGACTTCTAATTTTTAGTATCTTGAAGGAGCCAAACACACTTTTTTTCTGTCAGAAGTTCCATTACTCTGTAGAAAAGTTGTCAACCTCACCTCTTAACATACTTTACGTAAATGGAACTAAAACGACCCAATATTAAGGTATAACATAATTAATACAATGTAACAGTTTTATTCTTTAAACTTAGTCTTTCCAACTACATTCTTCCTCAATTTCAAATGTTGCTTGTAAGTATGGAATAAGAGGTTATCCAACTTCAGATCACATGAAATTCATGATTTTATTTATCATTTAAACAATTTCTGTTGTAACAGAGTTTGTAATGTTTGAATTGTCTATGGAGCAATAACATTTAAGTATAACAATATTTGGACCCTACAAATCCGAGGATACAGTAAGCAATTTGTGAGACAGTTTGTAAATATTTTACGAAAAACTAGCTGACTTCAGGTCATTTCTCCGAAACTTTACAGTGGCTGACTTTCAAAATTCATGAGCTCAAAGTTGATGTTTGAGCCTCCAGTTGGAAATCATGCCACTGATATTTTCTTAAAAAAAATAAAAGAAAGACCCAGACCAGCTTTTGAAATATTGAGTACAAGGCTGACAATGTAAACTCCCAATGAAGCACAATGGGCAACAATGTTGAACTTCAAAACTTCATGAGCTCAAATTGCTCATTTGAGCCTCCATTTTGAATTCAGTGAATTGGACACTATCTGGTTTTAGTGAGCAACTAAAACTCTCCGTATTTTATGACACAGTGCCTTAAAAGTCAACATAAAAGTCTTGTGAACATCACACACAGTAATTCATGGGGAAATCTTTATGAAAATGTACAAACTTTGTATAATGTATACAAGTTTTTCAACATCTTCAGTATATGCCAGGTAACAGTCAAGCTTTTATGATATCAAACAACGATAAACTCTTTATACCCATACGTGCAATATTAAGGCAACATAAATACTCATATCTAAAACCAAGCAATACACAATCCAGTGTCTAATTCCTTCAATCACACCTCCAACACATACACACACCTCAATATATCCAGATCACACACACAGATTGCTTAACCATGCAAAAACAACCATAGACTAAAAATTCATAACTCATAGCCTTCATTTCCAGGAACTGAATCACTCAACCACATCTGTCTAGACACCTGAAGTATCCTCTTGACACCTACACTACAACAGACACACTCTTCCTTCTACTGGAGGCTTTTCTGATATTTTTGATATATACATCATTAACTTCTTTTTTCCTTTCAGTTTTCATTTGCTATTGAATTTATATTGTATGTTTTCTTTTCAAATGCATTTCTTGAGACAAAAAAATGTTAGATTTTTTTCAAAGATGAGATTGTTCCGAAGTTCTGAAAAATGTCGATAAAAATGCAGAAAAATTCTTGATGCCATCAGAGTAGTAAAATCATAGCAAAATTTAATGCAAAATCTTATTCATTACAAGTATAAGATGAATTTTGTCTTCCAGAAACCTGGTTAAGATACAAACTCCCACGTTTTCATTCAAACTATTACTGATAAACATTACTACACAACTTAAAAAAAAAAAGTGTCACATACGCATACAACTTTTTATCAATAATCTCCGATGTTCGCTGCAGGAAAATTGGATAGAAAGTACAGTCTTTCTATCACATTACAAAATACACATCGGTGAAATATTTTTATGCTGTATAAGAATGTAAAGAAATAAACTGTTTTAATACCGATATCTAAGTTGTAATGAGACAGACTAGCATTTTATGGTCACTACTTTAGAAAAATATCACAATGTTTACTTAACATCCAACAGACAATTCCCCTACATTTCAGTGAAACATCTCTTTGAAAAAACTTCATTTAGCAAAAACAAAAACCATGATAGCATACATATACACTTTTTTGGTTGTGAACTTGGAAAAAAAAACAAACAAACAGATAACGGTTAAAATATACAATGTCACAAAAACATTGACGTCTTTAAGGCTTAACATGCTTTTGTTGCTATTGTATCTCTGGTTAAAAAAGTTCCCTTTAAGAAACATGTGTAAAAGATCTATAACAATTTTTCAACAGATGGCAATTTGTACCTGCTTAAATAAATCAATGATAAGTTTGAAAGTTAAATAAGAATATAAAAAGGAACACACTTCTGTTAAGGAGATCACTCTATCACAAATTGTATGAGGTCTAAGGTAGCATACAGCCTTAATATTAATAACAATTTGAATAAAAAAAACTGTCTTGTATGAAACAAAAATACTAAATTTGATATGGTACCTTTCCTTAACAGTTTCAGGGAGATTTGACGTTTACAAAATTTTCTTTTATAAAAACCAAGCAACCCATCACTGCTGACCTTGTAGATTCCTGATAACAGCACAGTAAACTGTCATTGAAGAGTTTTACACAGGCCAGTGAGAATAAGTCACTTCTTGAACTGGAATGGACGTCACAAATTTGTAAAGGACTGACAGCATTAAGTGTATATTTTTTACAAAAAGACCATCTACAGAGAAAAAGAATTGGTTTGAAGTATTGCAAATAGATTACTCCGATTTTGAATGAGTTGCATTTCCATTTTCAGGAACGGCTTTAGCTTCTCTGTATGTTGTAAATAATTTCGCATATTCAGGATGTGATACTGCATAATCCTTGAACTCATCTGTGGAGACAAGAACATTTTCCTGTTAATAAGAATTAATGTGTGTTTTAGGGTTCAAGGATGGAATTGCTCCAGAACGTCTATCCTTACACAATAATATCTCCTAGATACATACTGCCAACATTGCCAAATTGTCTTCAAATTGCCATGACAGACACTGTAAAACAGGGTTAAGCCAACTTTTTGTATGTTATATCAAAACCACTAAGAAGTTATAGTTGAAGTTTAGGAAAAGATGTTGCTGGACTATAACATGACTTCATACAAAGTTTACATTACAAATATTGAACCATGGCAAACATAGCTGGCTGTGTGTAATGGTTAGACTAGACATGACTTTAACAAATGTGATGATGTTGTAAGACTCATTGAAAACATGATGATTGTTGAAATCTAACTTATATAACAAATAAAATCGTTTTAATTCTAGATCAAGCAAGTCATGGGACTTTGACCCTGATGTAAGAATAAATCTGGTTGCCATAAAGTTGCCTTGCCTTTGCACTTGCCTTTCACCTAGACAACCAGGCTAACTGGACAAGAAAAGGCGTGCCCAAAGCCATGGGTTTTCACTAGGTACTCTGATTCCCTCCCATAGGAAGGCCCCTCATGAAGCGCATCAAGGCCAACACAAGATGTGTTTTGCAATTGTTCTAAAATAATGATATACTTTATGTACCATGTCTGTGACAGATAATCAGAATGTACAAGCTTGTTACAACATACCATAAGTGATTTTCTCATCATTTTTGGTGTCCACCTGCTCAAACAACTCATCCACATTTCCCATCTCGAACGCATTTTGAAGGATCCTGGTGAGATCATCTCGGCTCATATAACCTTTATTTTCTTCATCAAACAGCTGAAACACATTAAAAAATTAACTTTTTTAGAATTTTGTTATTGGCGGCATTATGTACATATCTATGGCATTTCATATCACTGTAAATTTATTACTTTTCGTGGGAGATTTATTTTTGCAGATTTTATCGAAACTATTAATCAAATAACTCATGTCTAGGAACTGTTCAAATTAATTGATTCCTTGGACTAATTTATCCACGAAATCAAGTCTCCAACAAATAGTAATTTTTTTGAAAATCAAGCCCTGCAAAAATTTATGACTTTACAGTATCCATATTTTATGTTTATCCTTGGTAAATTGTGAAGTGTGGGCAATTGCTTAACCACAGATCTACTCAGTGGGCAAATATCAAAGAGGTCTGAATGGCATATTGAACATCTTAACTAAATCTTATGACGATGGTTAAGATATTCCTCAGCATCATATGACAACATTCATTGATTTCTTTTACATGTAGATGAACTGGAGCTGTAGGAAATTGACAGCTTCAGAGCAAATCTGTATGGTGCTTTTTTAATTTACTGCAGATTATGAACAGAACTATAACATTTGATATCTGCAATATCTATGTACGTAAAAACATTACTTTGAGCTTATAGTGTGCCTGTTGCATGAAGCATCAATTTTTGTTCATGCTCTCATTTTTTTTTAATTCTTCCACACACAAGCAGCACAGATCTTTAAGCCACATGATCAACCAATGAGAAATAAAGTAGCATCTTGCTGTCATGCAAATATGGTACCTGAAAAGCCAACTTGATAGTTTCTTCAGTGTTTACTGGAGAGGACACTAGTGACAGTCCTATGACATACTCTCGGAAATCAATCATTCCTGAACCGTTCTGTAATCAAAGAAAACACAGAAATATAACAAATGACTCTCTTTATTGTTGTTGTTTTTTTCTTCCTTTGCTTTTTTTTTTTAAAAACTTTTTATGTGTGGTGATGCCCTGTGTGCAACCCAAAAGTTAATTTTACATAAACATGGAAGATTAAAATTCCTAAGTGACTATTCACATCCGAGCTTTAAGCTAAACCTTTTATTTAATTTATAATTGAGAATTGATTTTGATTATAAATGAATGTATGATTTTCATCCCACAAGATTTTCAATTTAAACCTTTTAAAGAATCATTTCCCATCAATCATCCCAACCATTCAAATCAATTCATTTCATGCTTTGTCTCTGTAATTTATATTCCCATGAATCATTAGGCACATCTTTACAACTGAATTTCACACTAATAGGCTATGGCTAGAATTTGTAACTTACCCTGTCATAAAGGGCAAACACCTGTTCCAAAGCTTCTGACTTGGGCAGATGTAGATAGCTAGCAAATTCATCTAGAGTTATCACCCCTGTTTTACTTTGTGCTATTGATGAATATTTTTCTAGCATTGACTGTAAATCCTCAAGTTTTAACCTGAAATTGCAGTTTTTTTTTACATTATCAATAACAAACTAAAATGAACAAACACTTTTCCTTATAAGGGCACTCTGTAAGAGTGAACACAATTTCATGGCAGAAGTAAGCTTCATACACTTCATTCTACACGTACAAAAATTTTGACATGAAGAAAACCTAAAGCAGCAGAGAAAATACTCGAAGAGAAAAAATTAGTTTTTTTAAAACTCATGATTAATACTGGAAAGCACATGAGTATATATCTTGTACACAAGCATATCAAATAAAAGAATGATAAATTGGTTGGAAATTGGCTTTTCTTTTTTGATAAGAGATTCTGTTTGATGTGAGTATTGGAGTTAAACTAACCCTAGTTTACTATGTAGCTTTGAGAACTCTACAAGTCCTGTTGACAATGGAAGCTTAAGTTTTCCAGCTTGCTTCATTAGTCGGCAGTCATCAAAAGAGTGATCCGTGGTTGGCACACCTAGTGACCTGTGTAACACAAACATATAGAATCTTACATGTTTATTATTTTATTATTTTTTTTATTCTATAGGTGATTGAAATAAGTCTTAACAAATTTTCACTTAAGCCTACTTTAGGCAAGTTAGTGACAAAATTTTGTAAATCGCATGGGAAATGGACACAAGTTTCAAATCCCTTTTTTATCCCATGATCCATTATTTTGGCAAATATTACAGAAAACTTTTTCCAAGTCACAAAAGAAGTCCTCTTTGCTCTATATCTGTAGTCTCTATTGTGATGGCATATCATTATCTAATCCTGTTACAAAAGGCTACAATACTCAAAGTAACACACTAAATAAAACCTCAGTCATGTGATTAAGAACATCACTGTTTCTGATGGTGAGGGCTTCTAATATACTGTACATTTGGCTGGATATTAATCCTCAACTTTTAACATAAACTTTGAAAAACCATTTAAATTCCTTAACCAGAATCTCAGCTGCAACACATTTGAGTTCTGCATCATTTTTGAATTTTGAAAGGTGACAAATTTTCAAGAGCCAACAATAAAGAGTATCTTGTGTGTTTAGTATAATTCACTAATAACTATTAGTGGAAGAATTTTTTTTCTTTTTTGAATCCGATTTGCTGAATACAGTGATGTTTGTGATATGAAAGTTACATTTTCCTGCCATTACTCTCCAACCATAATTCATCAATTGTGCTAACCTTATCACATGTATGGTAATTTGGGCATAACTTGTGTCTAAAAATCCCAACACATATGACCTGTGTGACATTTAAGTAGGTCAGGGTAGTAGATTTTGACTATCCTTGTAGTCCCATCCTCCTAGCTTCAATATCAAAATCATTGCCATGATTATTGAGACAGTTTTTAGATTTAAACACATTTGACACTGGAAGTGATCAAAGGTCATTCGTTTGAACAAACTTTGTAGCCATTCTTCTCAGCATGCTACAAGGCCAATATCAATGTTCTGCTTCTTTTGGTAATTAAACAGAAACAGATGCTGGATGTTAAACCATGCTATAAGTCCACTCGTCCTTGGGGCAGGTGAGCAAATAACAGCTGCACAACGCAGCAAATACACTAAAAACCATTAACAGGACATCATTAGGATAACATAGTAATGATTTTTCAGTTGGGTTATAATTAAACCATTTCAAGAACGATACTAAGTGAAATCATACATACTCCACAAATGATGTAATAAATCATACTTACTCTGCCATGACCTTTCGTACTTTGTTGGCAAAAAGCTTCACATCATTCTTTTCTTCTTCGTTAGGAACAACAACAGGTAAAAACTGAAATATTTAAACAATTTAATTAGATCTATATTTACAGTATTACACCACAATACATGTTTAAACTAACTAGACTGAAGTCTAGTTGAAAGTCTCATTTATCATGTCTCTTACAGGTAAAATTTGTAAGGAACCATATCTACGATACAAGTATTTGAGATAAATTTCAAATTATCAGCAGAAATTACCAATTCAAAGTATCATATTGGATGATTACTACATAGATATCATAGTGTTAGGTTTGTGATATTGATACACAGAGATACAAGTGATATCTTGATGCTTAACAACATAACATCATTATTCTTTCTATGTAAGTGTTCAATCACAGAAACCTACATACAAAATCTGAGAATGATTCATCATGTACTGAGAAATGAAAAAAAACAATCTAAAATTTCAAATCTAAAGATTGTCATGGGTCAGCCACTTTTGATCAGTTTCAATGCTGATGAGGCACAATATAGGACCAAGTAGAATCTTCAAATGAAATTTGAGAGAGACCAATTGAGTGCTTTATATATAAAGAAATAATTCCTTAGTTAATATGTCAAAATAATCAATTGCTGCTTGTGGTTAATTTTTAATGCATTAAATCAAGGTATTTGACGAGGATCTATCAAGTACTTCTTTAAGACAAGAAATTTCAAGAAAGGATGGACAACGTATCACAGACAATGGGTGATTTGACTGAAAATTAACTATTTACAAAACATTCTATGAAACAAAATTTCATATGACATGACGTTAATGATATTTTAAACATCTCAATAAACCAGCAATAAGGGAATCAATACCTCTATTTCCATGGAATTGTGGAAGTTGCATAATGTCAACCAAAAACAGGCAAACCTGTAACAATCAAATACATTGATATTAGATGTATGATACAGAATTCTATTTACCATGATGTTTAAAGAAAGAAGGTCATTCTGAGTGCCATAAAATCGTTCATGAGTTATTACACAGTGACATCTCAGAATTGTTATCATCTACATTTGTATCTGGTTTAATACCTCACTTGCATACTTTTAGTTGCACTTGTTACTGTAAAACTTTATTTTCCGAGTGTTGTAATTTTCTCCATTTCCAAAAACAGAATATAACCATGAAAACAGATATGATGAAAATAAAATAGATAAAGAAAAATTTATCTCATATATATTCGCTTTTGGTATAACCGAGGTAAACTGAACTGTCAATAAAAAATGTCATTATAGCTACTTGAACTACATACCACAATAATTCAGTACATGACAAGTATTTCTAAATAGTTCATTGATTGAATGTAATATTTATCTGGTTTGTGATCCTCCTAAATGAGCTTGTCCAATACAAACCTTTACATATATAATACCATATCAAGTCTCCATTGCAAACATATATAAATTGATTCTCTAACATTGTGAACAGTTTACAACTAAGCTAAATGAATAATCTAGATTTTTGAATCAGTTTTTGATATTTGGTTCCAATGTAACATGATGTCAGCTACTTACGCCCCTGGGCCTTCCCATGTCCATGTGTAAGTGTCCTGGAATTAAAAAACAGGAAATATACTTTTTGAAAAGAACAAACTATTGCATTATCTTTCCTCGAACAAACAAAGGTTACAGAAATGTTGTTAATTGTGATGTCTTGTCCTGTGGGTTCAGACAAGAAGAGATAACACTAATATTGCCATGTAGTATTGGGTGTATTGGACTGATGTTATAACAATGTTTTGGGTTTGTTAAAGATGTAAACCTTTATTTCTGTACTGACAGTGTTTTTACTATGGATCTGTAACTTTCACTTGTTTGTTTCAAACTCTGATATGACTGTGGGATAGGCTATACTATCAACAAAGGATACCGAGGTTCAAATCACATCTTATACCATCAATATCAAACCCGTAAAAGACCTCCAGGAAGACATGAAGAAACCTAAAACTCAGCAACCTTAAAGCTGCCTTTTTATGCAACACACATTCAGCTAAAACGAAAATAAGTCTGACAATAGTACATCACCTTGCCATCCTACATATGTGTACCTTCAATGAAGTTATAGCCATGATTATGAATTTCACTTTTGTCTTTAATGTGATGTTGATCTACAGCTATAGAAAACCTTCTTTGTTCCTCTAAAAATGTCTGATCTTTATTTGTTCTTTAAAAATTTAATCTTTTCCTATCTTTTGTTTTCTCTCGTCTGTTTTTGCTCTTGATGATACAAAATTTGATCATTCTTTTGGAGAAATAGTGATAACTATCTTTAACTGCCAATTCTAACGATGGTTACATTTCAGCCATTTTGTTATTCTTCTCGGTACCAAAATCAAAAAGGGAAAATTAGGGACCATAGGGAACCTACATATTAAATTGGCAAAAGATCCATCCAGTACTTCTCAAAAAAAAAAAAAGTGATAACAAAATTTGTGTACAGATGGACAGACCATGGACAAAGGGCGATTTCCATAGCCAACTATCCGATGGTGGGCTAAAGAACTAAAAAGACACAAATGCATCCACTGCAAAGGCCTTGACCTTGGACCTCTGAAACACAACAATGTCCAAAGTATACACAGACTTGATTGTTGTGTAAACTGCTAAGTGTATATATTGAATCAGCTGATGATTTCTTATATACTCCAAGGATGACCTTGACCTTGGGCCACTGAAACACAATGATGTCCAAAGTATACACATAACTGACCTTTGTATAAAGTTTGACCAAAACACGCCAAAGAATGAAGTTGCTAGGTACTTAAATTGAATTGGGACAGAACGGACACCATGGGCACTGCAATAGCCCTCCCACTACCCCATTTTAGGTCAGGGAATAGCTAAACTGCCAACTATATATACCTTGGTATATATACTGTTTATCATATGCACCCATAGAACATATATGGGAGCATAGAAATAGATTAACAATGTATGCTCCAGTCTACAGTCGTACTCACCATTTTGTTTGGGTAACGTATACAGACGGGTTGGACAGGCATACAAGGGTAGAAAGCACCTGTAACAAAACATAAACTCAATCATAATAAGAGTTCAATACCATGCTCCAGAGCCAAAAGAACTCTGTTCCACAACTCAATTAATACCATATCATACATACCAGATAAAAGAAGTGTTTCAGTAATCTGTCTACCTCAACCTTCCCCACAAGTACTTCTATAATTCTATACCTCAGTTTTACCCAAATCCACCTTGTTAACTGCACCTTATCCTTTCTCACATGTACTATGTATTAGTTAATTCTACCTAGGCCACTCTCTCTACCCCAGCCTCTCCCATACTATGTACTATGTTAATTCTACCTAGGCTACTCTCTCTACCTCAGCCTCTCCCATGCTAAGTACTATGTTAATTCTACCGAGGCTACTCTCTCTACCTCAGCCTCTCCCGTACTATGTACATTTTTTGTACTATGTTAATTCTACCGAGGCTACTCTCTCTACCTCAGCCTCTCCCGTACTATGTTAATTCTACCTAGGCTACTTTCTCTACCTCAGCCTCTCCCATGCTAAGTACTATGTTAATTCTACCGAGGCTACTTTCTCTACCTCAGCCTCTCCTGTACTATGTACTATGTTAATTCTACCTAGGCTACTCTCTCTACCTCAGCCTCTCCTGTGCTATGTACTATGTTAATTCTACCTAGGCTACTCTCTCTACCTCAGCCTCTCCCGTACTATGTTAATTCTACCTAGGCTACTCTCTCTACCTCAGCCTCTCCCGTACTATGTACTATGTTAATTCTATCTAGGCTACTCTCTCTACCTCAGCCTCTCCCGTACTATGTACTTTGTTAATTCTACCGAGGCTACTCTCTCTACCTCAGCCTCTCCCGTACTATGTACTTTGTTAATTCTACCTAGGCTAATCTCTCTACCCCAGCCTCTCCCGTACTATGTACTATGTTAATTCTACCGAGGCTACTCTCTCTACCTCAGCCTCTCCCATGCTATGTACTATGTTAATTCTACCGAGGCTACTCTCTCTACCTCAGCCTCTCCCATGCTATGTACTATGTTAATTCTACCGAGGCTACTCTCTCTACCCCAGCCTCTACAGTGCTATGTACTATGTTAATTCTACCGAGGCTACTCTCTCTACCCCAGCCTCTCCCATGCTATGTACTATGTTAATTCTACCTAGGCTACTCTCTCTACCCCAGCCTCTCCCGTACTATGTACTATGTTAATTCTACCGAGGCTACTCTCTCTACCTTAGCTTCCCTTCATTTACATTGTTAACTCTACCTCAGCCTACCCTACATGTACCTTGTTAATGTAACCTCAGCCTTCCTTGTATATACTTTGTTATGAGGACTAATTGATAAGTTGTGAGCCTTGCATTGAAGAACTTAAGCGAGGATGTCCTTTATCAGTTCTACTATTCCCTGACTATTCAAGGCTGTGTGCCAAATGACTGGTGTCAATTGGTCAGTTTATGTTATAGGAGTAGCACTCTAAAGTAAATATGGCAAGTGACTTTTGCAGAATGGACAAAATCGCTGAAACAGTAATGATTCAATATTTGCATAAGAATAGTCTAGCACCTAAGGATATCCATACTGATATGGTAGCAACACGAGGGAATGATGTCCCTTCATATGCTACAGTGAAAAGGTGTGTGGCAAAATTTAAGTGTGGCAGGCAGAGCCTTGGGGATGATGCCTGTCCTGGAAGGCCTGTCACTGTTGCAACCCTTAGAAATGGTCATTTAAGTCCATGACATTGTTATGGCTGACAGGTGAATCACAGAGAGATATATGCCAGGGCAGTTGGGATTTCACAGGAAAGAGTACATTCCATTCTTACAGAATTCAAAAATTGAAAAAGGCCATTTAGGTACCCACTTTTGGTCAGATGATGACATCACATATGCAGTGGAGGACTTTCTGAACAGTCAAGAAAAGGACTTCTTTAAAAGTGGCATTGAGGCCCTTAAACATCACTGGCAAAAGTGTATAGATACTGAAGGGGATTCTATTGAAAAATAAGGCAATGTGTAGGCCAAAAGTCAAACCCTTAAATATGAGGCTCACAACTTACCCATCAGCCCTCGCTACTCTACTTCTCAACCATCCCCTGTTATATCTCATAATTTTATTATGCCTGAACAAATGAACACAGATACCTTATAGTAGGCCATGTTTGCAGTAATTAAAAAGAACATAAGTCAAATATTCAACAAACATTTTTCAGTTTATCAAATTCTCACAAAATTATTGAATGTAATATGTTTCATGCCTTACAGGTGGATACTACAGTACAGACATGCACAAAATTTAATCATCATCTAGCTCAGACTGAAACTATTATCAAGTATTAGCCCCGCAAAATTATAAACATTCAATGATCTTAATATAAGTAAATTATTCAAAAGTAATTTTAAAACTAAAATACCAGATTTAAAATTGATGACAGCCTTCCTGTTTGTACAGGTGCCTTCTGGGAAAATGATGATCTGCGGCCATTTGCCTCCTGACTGGGCACGCCGGTTGATTTCTTTAATGGTGTTTTGTCGTGAGTTAGGGTCCTCACGATTCACATAAACTGGCTGTGTAAACTCCATGAGAGCTATAACAAACACATGTCTAAATTAAAATGTAAAGAGAATGATGATTAACTAATCTCAAATACACTGGTTTACATTTCAATACTCAATATCTAGCATTACTTTCTGGTTTATAGGTTCAAATGCTTCTAAAGATTTGTTAACATAAAACACAAAATATTGATAATCTAAAGTTTGAAATATTCAATTTAAACTGTATTTTACAAATTTACCTTCAGGGAGCTGAACAAAACTGATATATATATAGGTATGAAGTTAACTTTTAAGTTTACAGACAGTAAGTGGGGGAGATGTGTGAGAAATTTATCAGAAACACTGCAATTCAATTAGTACCAAAATTAATTTAGTCAAATATTTGTGACAAAGCGTCAAACTAAAACCAGATGTCTTAATTAAGGTTTTTTTAAATTTCTTTTGTCAAAGCAATCCATTTTCTTTTTGAACATTTTCTGAATCTGATACCTGCTGGGATTATTTCTACAGTAATCAATAAACCGTATGTTTTTAATTTTAAAATATTTCAAAACCATGGATGACAATTTTTTTCTATAGATGAAAGCTACATATTAAATGACGACTGCTTTGAAAGACATGTTATCATTTTTAAATGGGGGGTCGGAGGGGGGGTTGGGGAGATTTATCATCTGAAGTTTCATTGGCTCTTTTGATAAATATTGCTTATTGTAAGTACTCTAGACAGTTAGGATTTTGCCATGCAACTTCTTTAATTAGGCATAGTATATATATATATATCTATATATATATTAATTACAATGGTTATTTCAAAGTCAGGTATGTACAAAAATTAGTACTATTATGCACAATTCAAAATATATACTATACTGTGTACACAGTTTAATTTGGTTACAGTGTGTTAACCACTAGGAGACACATAACCTCCATCTGATCCACCACTTGACAAGGAAGTGAACAAATCATATAAAGTTTATCTATCTGGTAATTAGCTTTTGATTTTCTATAAACACCTACTATCAAAGTTATAAAGAAAGATTCAAACATTAAATTCACAACTTCATATCAAACATAATTGAATTGAAAATCTCCAACCTTTTCACCTGCTATTTCTTTACTTATCTCTACAGTTACAAATTATGACAAGGAAAAATCATGACCAACCCCTTATAAACCAGTGTATTAATTTGTTTATTTAAAGAAACTATATCAGACATTAAATTAACAACATATTGGAGGGACATGTACTGATATACACAGCTTGGTACGCTGGTACATTCAGGGTGATAAACTATTTTCAAAGACAAGCACCTGTTAACTTGTATCTATCACTGTAAGATCCTATTCTAAAGCCCTGGTTGGAGGTCTGGAATACTGAGGTAAGGTCCCTGATATCAGGTGATAAGTATACATTTCCCAGTTCACAAGGTTCAAATGCCATCAAAAAGACAAAGCTTCACTTAGGACTACATCTTATGATGATCAGATCAACATGTATACTATATGTAGCAAGGTCTGTGTGGGTTAAACTTAATGCTGACTCACATACTCCTATAATACTCCCATACCTCCTTATATTGACAATTTTACCACACAATAATTAACAAAATTTGAATATCAAATGATGTTTTATACTATAGAAAAAAATTCAATGTCATTAAACTTTGATATTAATAGAAAATGGTTGAGAAGCCTACATTCCTTGAAATGTACTGTAAGAGTCAAATTTTTGCATCAAACATCCTCCCGACCACATGATGAAAGACTGATCAGCAGTTTGATTTGTCTATGCTGACATTCTCCAGTTTCACTTGATTAAGGATAGAGTACAATAATGTGAGAAGAGACCAACATTACCCCCATATATACTGGAACAAGCACAGCACCACTAGCCCAATACCATACATAAATGTACAACACAGTATCATGCACATGCATAAAAGATGCAAATTTAATGACTACTAAGAGAGTACAACACATAAGGATATGTTAATATATTAATAAAATAAATGGAACTTCAAATAATATTCACAAAAAACAACCAAAAATGAACTTCAATTTTTCCTGAAATATTCTTATACATGTATCTATGTGGATCAGAACGAATGAATATCCTCCTTATTTCAGTTGGTGATAACGTACCTGTGTTCAAAATCTCGATGTATGTTTATTGTAAGTATCACAGCAAATTGTTAGCAGGACATAAAATAGGACTATAGAGGAATCTATTGTGTAAATAAAGATTTAGTGACTTAAAATGTTCCGACCAAAACAGGTCAAGATCAGCTAGGAAGAGCAAACCTTGGTGAAGAAAAGCTGAAAACACAATGCCTAGATTGTGTTTGTGTGTACAAATATTCAAAGACAACATTTCTTCGGTTGCCTTCAATTTGAAAACGTGAAACATTTAAATTGTTAAGCAGCATCACTTTCTCATTAGAATGCTGTTCATAGAGTTATGATCCAAAGTGTGTAAACATAAAGCCAGTCAGTGTTAATTAAAACAGCTTGATCAGAAGATGAAACAGCAAACTGAATGACAATTTTAGTAGAAAGTGCAGTAAAATAGGGGCAAAGTTTAAATTTGTCTGTTTGATAATGCAAACAATTTTTTTTTTTTTTCTATAATTTTGGTTGTATTCCAAACTAGATCATCAATGACATGTAATTCTACAAGATTTAGTCTGCATAAAAATAGTCTGTGTTTCAATCAACAACTAAAACACAAGATAAATCTAACAGTGAGAACAGAATATCTAACTCTTCTCCATAAAAAATCTCAAATCGGATCTACCTTAGAAATTAGGATTTTAGAATTGTTCGTCTTACTTCATTTTTCAGCAAATTTCAAGTACAGTACAGGAATATTTTCCCATTTTTATAAATAGGAAATATCATTTCTATCAATGCAAATAAATAAGTATTCATCTAAAAATATGGTTTTCATGTACCATAACTGATTGGAGCAAAATCACAAAATGTTGTTAAATCAAGTAAACCTACATTTATTTTTTTAAGCAAAAGTTAACAAAAGTGAACCCTGTGAAACTTGTAATAAAAATCACATCATGTATGTGATTTAAATTTTAACACAGCCAATCTGAACGGTCTTTTCTACCAATGTTTATTCAGAATGACTTGTGCCACCAGTAACAAGTCCCAATATTTCTAGACTTTTTGATGTCATATATCCATAATTATCTGACCTTGTCTGACCCATGACCTTTGACCTGCACTTCATTGCTCATCATCATTTATGTAGATGTGGACATAACCTGATAATTTTTCCTTAAGGCAGTGTTTTACCTCCCTTGATCTTATAGCAGTCTGTGCCTGCACAAATTAGGAAATTATAGTAGAATTTTCCATAAAATGGGAAAACATTCTTGGACTTTATTTCATTTTTGGAAAATTAACCCACATTTTGGCTAAGGGAAGTGGTCTTTCTTTAGCGGTAAAACAGGCCCAAAATCAATGTATGATATCTCATTACAAGCAGATACTTATTGAGAATGTATTCCAAGTTGAGATTTTTACTGTAGTTAGAGCTAGCAAAAGACTTGCTGAGATACGTACTTTTCAATAAGGGAGGGAATCGTTCCGCTCTAGCGAGGGAAGTCGGTAAGAACGGTAAGAAAAACAAGACCATTGCATCAAAAAAGGTTGAATGAGGCGCACACACGGCTATCGGAGCTTCACTAGCCACAGCACATTGACCTTTAACCTTGATTCTATGAAATCCAACGCTGATACAAACGGCTCTTCCTAGAAATGCTAACGGCCCATCAAACCATCTAAATGTAAGCAAACAAAGATCTCTGTTATATCTCAGTCATGCACAGCTGTTATTTTGCCACAGCTGGAGGTTTTCTCTTTTTTTTGTGTGGCAAAGATCTGATTATGAAATGCTGTGTCACTCTTGTCCCGTCTGTAATAAATAAGGAAAATAGTCAGCATTTTTAACTTATTTGCCATGGCTAAGTGTCACCACATGTCACAAAAAAAAAAAGCTTGTCCTTGTGAAAGATAAAAGCACAGAACTACAACTAGATATTGTGACCATGTTCTTGCCATAATGCTGATTTCTGGGATTTCATTCTCCTTTTACATTGATATTTTAAGAATTTTCTGATCAAAAATCAATAAAAGCACCCACTGTTTTTGTTTCTTCTATAATAATAATAATGAAATTCTACAATCAATTCAGTGAATTCTTTTAAAATCAATGAGCATGAAGATCACACAATCTAGAAGTTATCAACAAAATAGTTTTTGTATAGTAAACACCAACAAACCCTCATTAAAAATGAACTGACCTATTTCTATTTATTTCTTTAACCTTATTTGGTAATGATTTAATTTGTATCATGGGGGACTATCTCTAAATAATTTTATCGAAGTAATAATGTGCTTCGTTAACATTAATAAAGCTTTCTTAATGATGTATTAAATGCAAGCAGTGAATTTTTGCACAATTCTCACAAAACTTCTTATGAGGCAATTGTTTATTAAAACCAGATGTTTCAGAACAACACAAATGCCACCGCCGGAAAACAAGAAGTTTGGAACATTTTAGGGGTAATGGATTTGTCAAAAGGTGCACTCATGACTCATGAAATAGACTCTAAAGTCCTGCCTTGAGAACCTTGAATACGATTAGAATTTTGTTATAGATTTCTTTTTTAAATTCCCACTTGAATTAGTCAAGGCTTTCCAATGCCACTGGTCAAATAGTTTTTGTAAAAATTAGTTCAATCTTTTACAGTTAAATGACTTTAACTCTCAAAACATTTTATGAAATAGTAGTAGCATAAAAATGATAATTCTAGTACCTCTAAAAGAAATGAAATTAAACAACAAGAGGTCTACGAGCCGTAACGGTCATCTGACTTCACTGGACCAAAATACCATCATTTTAATAAAGTAGTGGTAACAATAACAACAAAGCTGATTTTTCAGCAGTGCATGTTAAGTTTGATTTTAGTAAGTTTCCATCAATTCATTTAGCAATATTGTCATCATGACAACCTTACTGGTCCTTGGATCAAGTAACAATCCTTCCCCAAGGTTATCTAAGGATCATAACAGACATTTTCAAAATTACCTGTAACTACCATGTAGCAAAACTGGAGAAGAAGTTTGAAATGCAATGCGAGTTGATCAGGAAAACAATCATTGGGCTATCCTGTTACCAATTGGCCTAAGTTTTAACAAGATGAAAAATAAAAGACTTTTTTTACCAATGGACTCAGTAGACCTAGAGAAGTGTAATAAGTGTTTTCCAAGAAGTAAAAATATTAGACAAGAACCATCCCCTAAAAATAACTTAGTCAAGTCCATCTTAGAACAATTTCAGTCAAGTCTGAGCTGAACCCAGCTTGGAAAGTTTACATGACAACAGATAAAACATGGTCACTATCCTGGGTTGCTAAAAAGACAAAAAGTTCTAATATTTTGTGCATAAACCTTAAAAAAAAGGAAATGAAATGACATTTACAGGCCAGCATAATAAAACATGGTAACAGTAAACATGGAATCCTTGATCTTCTGTCTAGAAATAAATGAAAAATCACTTGAAAATGAAAACAAAACGATGTACTGTACAAGTGTTTACAATGTTATACAAAGAATGCTTGGTATATGAATGTGTTCACAAATGATAATTACCAAACATTATGTTTCAACACAGCTGTGACGTTATGATATTACCTAATTTCATTCACATAACATACATAATGTTAAACCAGGCATCATGCTTCAAAACCCACCATGCAGGGAAGCAATGTCTATGGAGCAAGGAGAAACCGTCATTGATTGGCCATGGTGCCTAAATGGGTTCAAACATAAAGAAACAAACTGGGTTAATACAAACTAGTCAATAGATACGATGGGTATTAGTTCATATGTATTGATAGTCTTTAGAACGGTGTTCTGAATACCTGAGAATGTACAGGACATCACCTGTCAGACTAAATAGTTGACTTTTACGACATACTAAATCAGAAATTATTATTTAGTGATTACAAAAGGATTTTGAGTAATTGTAACATTTCAATCAAGGTGTTTAATTTTAACAATTGGAAATACTTTGATGCTGACCAAAATAGTGACCAGTATAACATTTATGTAACCGAGAAATCCTTAATATATTCTATCCACTTTAAATTTTGTTGTTTTAAAAAGGTTATAACATATCTGTTGCAAATCTTTACATTTCTCTTATCTCACTAAACCTTCTAACAAACTGTTTTACTGAAGAAAACTTTGAAATCACAACACTTGCTGTGTCAGAGGATAGCTGATCAGTTATAAAAAGATACTCAGTACCTCAGGTTGAGTTTGAATGCAACATCATTAAAAATCTCAGCAAGCATAGTAGAAGTTAAGAAAGTCAGAGCTTGGAAATCATTCAAAATAAATAAACCTCAGAACTGGGGAAACTAATGTTTACAGGTGCATTCAGCGGAAAAATTGCATTTTTTTTCACTATTATCAAAATAAAATTTGTCGTATTTTGATGACAATTTTTTTTCATTACAAGCTTTATGTAGAGTTGAAATCAACATTTTGTTAAGTTAAAGATCAAAGATAGAATCAATGTTGTTCCTTTGATAAATATTTGACAGGTTTCATGGTATCCCTTGTCTGGATACCACATGGTACGGGGGAGCAAATGAAGAGTAGGGACAAACTAAACAGAGTGGGACAAACTAAACAGAGTGGGACAAACTAAACAGAGCTGTAATAATCAATCGCAACAAGCTCAGGATAACTTGTTTCTGTTTTATATAGCTATGTGGGGGGTGAATCAGTTGACATCTCTTCACAAAGAATAAACTACTTTTTAGCAATTTCTTAACATGGTCATGGTATTTTCTTGTTATCTAAATGTCAGCACACCATTTTTTTAACAAGGCCAATCAATGGCTTTTTCCAATAAAAACAAAGTTCTCAGTCTTCTGCTATTTAAAATTTAGTCTAAAACATATTTCAAGCAAACACTGTAAGCAAAAACCAGGCACAAGCCAAAACAAGACAGCAAACATCAGGTCATTCCCGCAATTGTCCCCAACAAAGCCAGTTAGTCTCAACATCGGAAAAATGGACACATGATTTCTCTTCAAATAATGAAGGTTATTTGCTACCTTAATACTGCACAAATTACAAAAAGTTGTATAAATTACAAACTGTTAATGGTCTTTCACATATCAATCATGTCCAAAATAATTAAAGTAGATTACAACCTTCACCTTTAAATCTTAATGATCATTTTTACACAACTCATACCAAGAATTATATGGTCTAGTTAATTTTTTATGATCTTACTATGGTTTGCATTGGTGGTTCATTTAATAAGAAACACATATATCAGTTTGTGAGCATTTTTCCGATTTGAATAAGAAAAAAATCATGCCAATTATTAATTCACAAAACTGACTCAACATTAAAATGGCAGCAACATATTAAGTCACACAGACTTGTAGTTTCGGGAAAATTGTATCTCTTTCTCGTGATCATAATAAAGACCTTAACCTAAAATGTTTTTTTCAAAAAAAGGGAAGACCCCAATATTTCCTTGATGCAGGAAAATTACAGCATTTTATCAATGGTCCTGTCTGTCACAATACCAGTGGGTTAAACTCATTCAACAAAGCCGATTTCACAGCCAAACTGAATATTATAATCCTAACTGATATAAAAACAAATTTAATCCAATTTTAGCCTAATATTTACAGTAGATATACTTATTAAAAATCTAGATATATAGGTATCCAGCAACGTTTGTTTTATCCATTTTGTGTCTTTACATTAAATTGGTGCAAGCCTTTGCTTGAAGACCATGTACATGTTTTATTTCTAAAGATGGCCTTTAAATCACCTTATGTGAGGTTGGATGGGGAAAAACAATAAAACGACATTGTCCAATTTGAGTATTTGGCATTCCTAATCTGAATGCTTGTTGTACATTAATGGTACAATGTGATAGTATTAATAATATATGGGCACTTGAGGTAGAACTGTAATACAACCACATCATTGTGGATTTTGTTTGGTTTAAATTACAATGTATCTTCATTATCATTTGGTTTTGACAACATTTAAATTCACCATGTGTATCGGGACATACTTCCAAATAATGGCACTTTTTCAGCTTGGGACTTTGCAACAATGGTAGTGAGATCCAAGGCTACAACTGGCAGTGCGTCAAAGTAGGCTGAGTGTGGTACTAGGGTAAGGATGGGTGCTTCAGCGGCACTCACTCGCTTCCCTTTTACTGTAACCCAATGGAATCCCCCAGCCAGGAACAATCCTCTGCACAGCAGAACAACCACTGGTCGTAACATGCTACAATCAAAAGTTATAATCCCACATACACATAAAACTTTGTTAACTTTGGGACATATTATAGAAGCATAGTTCTTTGGTTTTAAATACTTTGTTGTCAAAGTTTGGTTTCAAAATATTCAATGCTGTTAATAGATTCTTTCATTTGAGTATCCTAATTAAAATTCTCATCATTAAATACACTTGTTCACCAAAAAAAAAATATATATACATTATAATTCAAATAGTCTATAGTCTATGAAATGTACAAAGAACAATATGACACTTTTACATGCAAATGAATAGCTTAACAAGTTTATATTTAGTAGTCAAATCTTAAAATCAAATTAATTTTGGTAGCCTGTAAATAACAAGCGAGCTTAAAATAGTATCCACTATGGTTTAACTCAAAAGCATTTTGTAGCAATGAACCAAATTGATGCATAAAACATCATAACAGTACTTTACATCATAACAGTAGCACCTTTCTTATACATTATTACCTATTTCATGACATTTTTTCACACCAGTTTCTTGTCTTGAATTAGAGTTTAAGCTACTTTCAGTTAATAAAATTAACACCTTTTAAAATTTTTTTATCTTTGACTCTTAAGCACTGGGTGAACTCTTAAAGGGATATTTCACACAAATTAGGATTTCATAAGATGCCTTTGAAGTAAATTGTACGAAATTATCTACTTATCATGGAAATCTTACATCTCAATTTACCATTTTAATAAAACAGAAGATATTCAAATCATGGAAATTCTCTTCAGACCTAGGTAAATATATTTACAAACGTTCTAGTGGCCCTGACGGTGTCATAACATGTTTGCTTTAGCCGAACATAATCAAACATTTGTGTTAATTATAAATTCATCAAAAGATATGCCTAATGAAGTAAAAAAAATGCAATCCCAGCTGAAATTTTAGTGAACAGCATACACACTTGTGTATTTACCCAATACTATGCATAAAATTTATGATTCAGTAATCTTTCATCTCCAGATTTCCTGATGCACCATATTTGAATTTATACTGGCTTGGACTATTCCCACCAATTTCACCTGACCAACTGACCACAGGAGAGATACCTTTCTGCTAACAATGCTTTTCAAAAGTCATTAGAACGAGTTCTTAAATGGTACAGAACAGCCAGAAATTTGGCAACTTGGGTGGAATATCCCTTAAAATAAATTACCAGATTTATTGTTGCACACACATGGCACATGTATATTTAAGTAAACAGAGTCATACAGAATGTACAGATGCTTAAATGTTCAAAAGAACATCAATAAACATTGTTAGAACTGGTCACAGCAAACTTATATATGTAATAACTTCATTGCTAAACAGAAAAAGTGGAAAATTGTTTCAAACATTTCAAAACCATGGGATTATTTCAACTTAAACATAAAGAAATTGTTAGAATGCATCACAGCACACTGGATATTATACTGCTATACAGAAGACACAAAATAATTATTGCGAAAACTTCAAAATAAAAGAATCATTACAAAATAGATTTCTTTGCTAGAACTTGTCACAGTTGATTGTACATTGCACTGTTCAACAGAAAATATAGACACTAGATGTCTGGTTCACATGTTTGCAATGTTTTAGTTAAGGTCAAACTGTTGTCTTCCAAGCATCTTACAGCATAACCTGACTACAATATGAATAAAGTAATTGCATCTTATTGAGGCCAAAGAAAATAATACATGTTTCCTGTTCCCTTCTAAAAATATTAAGGAACTTCAAATGTTTAGTACAAATGTAAGCATTTTAAACAAGCATTATAAAAGTAAAAATACTGTTATAAATATTATATACTGTTATTCTTTTTCAAAGGAACATAATTTATCTTTTTGTTAGCAGCTGCTTGTGAATTCAACTAAAAGTCATCACTGGAAACAGGTATTCTTTAATAGTTTGGCCTTCAGGCCATTACATAAGTATGCAATTCAAGTTTCTGCTTTTAATGTATATTCAATTTACATTGAAAATAATGATTTAACATTTCATCACTAAAACATCATTTAAAATTAATTATTTTGATAGCTTGAAAGCCTGAATTCTACAATGATACATGCTACATTAAAATAAATGTCAAACCTACTTGAGTTTCTTATCAAACCAGTGGCATTGCTTTAATACTACTATTTGTGCAGTCAAAATTTATCATTAATGTTTGGCAATATGCTAGTAATTGAGGTGTGGAAGGAAAACATTAAAGCAAGATGACAAAGTGTAGCATTATTTCTTCAATACCAGGAAACATTTGTTATTTAATGTCTTGACATGTTCTTATGAACTTTTAAATAATCAATTTACTCTATTCTAAACACTTCATAATAAATTGATAGTAAGAAATCTTAAGGTGTATAGATTAACAAAAATACTACAAAAAAAAAAAATAATAATAATAATAAAGCTGGATCTTTTTAACTTACTTTCTCCATCCACAAAGAGGTTTCTGCTTCTCCTCCTGTGATCTGAATGCCAGAGCTATAGTGGCTAAGAAAAAGCCAGACAGAAGGAAGATTGCACAGAAAATCAGGCGGACAGGGACTACAAACACGGACATCAACACAATCTGTAATGAATAAAATATTTAGTTGTTGTTGCTTCCTGATCTTACTTTTTTTCATTCAATTACAATTTTTTTTTATTGCAATGCACTTGCAAATTCACTCAAACCAGGTCAATATACAACACTCTCAATCAAATTACTTAGATATACAATTTTCAGGTTTGTGGTACAGTAACTAAAATCTTATACAATATATCATCTTTGATACTCCAAGGGTTACAATCACCTTAACATGTCATGGCAAAATTGAAGGTGTAAGCTAAGTGTCTTGTTTAGTTCCTGAAAAAAGAAACTTACTTTTCACAGGCTGATATACTCATTTTGCAGATTACAAATAAGTGACATCCAACTTTAAAACCATTACAATATCCTGTTATTTGACCTAAAGATTCCTTTAATGTACATCAAAAAATCAAAGAAGTCTTTTCATCTTGTCCACAAGATGTCGCACTTGGAACCTTCAATTTTGCCATGACATGTTTCTGGGGGTACAGAGATTGAAGATAATCGTAGTCCCTGGTGTACGGAGGGTGCCAAGATATATATATATAATATTTAAGTATTTTTGCATTTCCGTATTTCTAAATTATCAATTTCACACAACTATGCATATTTTAAGTCTGCAGATCATCCTTTATATGAAATCAATGTAGATCTACACAATATATAGATATATTGTTTTACATTATGGTCAATGCTCAAGACGAACATCTGAAAATTTAACTATTATCAAACAAAAATTTTAACTACAACCAAAGAAGCAGATGTAAACCACAATTACACAAGAACATTACTGTATGTAATTATGTATAAGCGAGAGTGTACAGATCACCTTTCTTGGTTTGGCTAGTAGGAATTCCCCTTTAGTCGCGTCTGAATTAATGCTAGTTCAAATCCTACCAATGACATGGTGTTTGTTAATGTTATTGATACCCCTTCCTATTACAAATTTAGTCCTTCTACAACTCTATCAATATTTTTGGTAAAAATACCAGTTTAATATATTATATATCTAACATGTACATTTGTATCTAAATATATCAAATGTTAACAAGAGCATTCGCCCATAAGCTCATCGCGAAATATGCGGTGGCTGTATCAAGCATACAGGAAGATGATGTTGATCGCGATGTATGACATCATTTTATAGTGTCTTACTATTGGGGTTGATCAATAGCCACACGTTTACAAATATTCATAATTTTTCTTGGACATAAGACATTTTTGATTGAAAACATGTAACTGATAAATTTGCAGCAGGAACTTTAAACTTTAAGTAACCTAAGTGATGCTAGCCATGCCCATGGATATTTCAGCACTTGTGATTCATCAGTGTTTAATGAGTAAGTCGGTGTACTATTTGGATGCATCGATGATCATACCCTAATCTTGTCCACATTTGTAAGGTCGATCTGGTGCACAAATGGATTAGGAACCACTGGCGTTGCCAGAGATGTCTGACGAGGAATTCCGATGTTTCTTTTCATGTTTTTTCCGTGTTGATATTTTACGTTTTTACATTGTCCGTTTGTCACTGGCGGAAACGGTATTAATAGATTTCCTGTACGCATGCGCTTCAGTCCAACGTAGACAGAGACAAATGAATTGTGGGTAATCCTTATTGCGATGCAACCACCCAAGATGGCAACCAGTCAGGACAGATAAATTTGTGATATATTGGGATAATTTTAGCCATAAAAGCTACAAAATATAGATGATAAGTGGGTAACAAAGGCAAGATGGAAACCGGATGTAAAGGTAGTGGTGGACAGACGGAATTTATTGTTGGTGGAAAGTACCGTCTTGTTAGAAAAATAGGCAGTGGCTCGTTTGGTGACATTTATTTGGGTATCAACGTAACGAATGGAGAAGAAGTAGCAGTGAAACTTGAATCACTCAAGGCCAGACATCCCCAGCTTTTGTACGAAAGCAAGTTATACAAAATATTAGCCGGAGGAGTTGGTATTCCGCACATTCGTTATTATAACCAAGAAAAAGAATATAATGTCCTTGTTATGGACTTGCTTGGGCCCAGTCTGGAGGATTTGTTCAACTTCTGTTCAAGGAGATTTACAATGAAAACTGTGCTCATGCTTGCTGACCAAATGATCGGGCGTATCGAATATGTTCACAACAAAAATTTTATCCACAGAGACATAAAACCTGACAATTTCTTAATGGGAATAGGTCGTCATTGTAATAAGGTGTTTCTCATTGACTATGGTCTGGCCAAGAAATACAGAGATAGTCGAACAAGACAACACATCACGTACAGAGAAGACAAGAACCTAACTGGAACTGCCCGATACGCAAGTATCAATGCACATCTTGGTATTGAACAAAGTCGGAGGGATGACATGGAGTCACTTGGCTATGTACTAATGTACTTCAATCGAGGCTCACTGCCTTGGCAAGGCTTAAAGGCTGCAACGAAAAAGCAGAAATATGAAAAAATCAGCGAGAAAAAGATGTCTACCCCGGTGGAAGTCCTTTGTAAAGGATTTCCTGCAGAGTTTGCAATGTATTTGAATTACTGCAGAGGACTGCGTTTTGAGGAGGCCCCAGACTACATGTATCTACGACAGCTATTCCGCATCCTGTTCCGTACATTGAACTATCAGTATGACTACACATTTGATTGGACAATGCTGAAGCAAAAAGCAGCAACTGTGACCAGTACTGGGGCAAGTATCCCTACTGGGGCCACTGCAGGGCACAAGTAATATGTAGAGATGAAAAGAAACCTTGTTATCAAGCTTGTTTGACCCAAGACAGTTCGTAGCTTAAAAAAGTGGTTTGTTTTGAAGATGAGAGCGTAATATGAATGGATAATTGTTGGATCTAGGTACACAAGAGTCATAATGTGTACATGATGAAAAACAGTACATAATGTACTTGTGAGAAAATGTATGTAAAATGTAGTTAAGGCCAAACATCTTACAGTTTGGCAATTTTTGATCTGGTTACAATTCGTTGGGATCCAATTTAAGGTCAAAGAAAACTTGTGTCATGAATAATTTAACACCAGCCTAGTAAGAAGGATTTATTGAGAGAATTATAAAATGGGTACATTCTATATTGGTATACTTATGACATTGCTCAATATAACAATGTTAAGTATTTAAATGTGTAGAAAGTATTTATGGACAATTGAAATATGAAAAGAAAGCGAGGTCAAGAAAGGTGTGTTTCTTAGTATCTGTCACCCTAAGCTTTGACCCACTATTGGCTATTCCTTTGGCTGTGTATTTGGAATTTTTGGTTATCACCATTAATCCAAAACTATGTACACAGAATACACACAATTTTTGCCAAAGCTCATAAGAGACTGGTTTATCCACTTTATTTGTTGGTATATATAGAACCCAAAATATGGCCTGCATAGTCTTTGATTTTGGAATACATGTATCCTTGGTAAGTATCCTTAAGTCATTAGTAGACTTGTAAATAGCTCATATGATAGAAAAAAACTCATATATATTAATTGTGTAAATATTTATTTAAAAATGAATACAATTGTACACTGCTTTGTAATATTTAGACTTTTGGTGTATCATTGTGTGTGTTTGTGTACTTAATGAATGTGTGACAATTGCAAACCTATTCTGATAATGAGAATTGAATAAATAAAGTATATGATTTCAATAGAATGTTATAGTTTCTCAGTGAGTTGAAGTAATTTCAAATCATTTGAACTGTGGTAAAAATTACAAAATTTTGCACATTATTTCAAGCTGTAGATGAAAACAAACAGCATGTTAAACAGTAACGTCATGTGTTGTAAAAGCACTTGGGTATGCTGAACTTAACATACAATTTTTGTTTTAAATGAAATATGTATTTGACGTGTTTAATTCCATAGCACAGATGATTTTTCATGTTTCCTCCAAAATTTTGTATTAAATTTGTAGCACTCACAGCAAAACTTTTAAAAGTATGATGTTTTTTTTTATGCTGACAAAAGAATGTTGCAGTATTGAAAAATATTATATACTGTACATGTTTTGCCAAACTCTTAAGAGAAGTTTATTAAATGTATTTGTCAGCATACATAGAATTCCAAAATGTGAACTATGGCCACACACTCTTTGATTTTAGGGGTACATCCTTGATGAGTACCACCCCCACCCTGTTTATATGTCATTAGTAAGTCTTGTAAATATCTCATACGATAGAAAAACTCATATATATATATATATTGATTGTGTAAATATTTATTTAAAAAATGAATACAATTGTACACTACATTGTAATATTTAGACTTTTGGTGTATCATTTTGTGTGTTTGTGTACTTAATGAATGTGTGACAAAGAAACCTATATTCTACTAAAGTGTAGGTAACAAGAAAGGAGTTAAAACAGTATGATTTGTCTCAGCAAGTTGCAGTAGTTTATTCTGTATCAAAATTACATTAGATTGCAAAATTCGGCACTTTATTTCTTCTAACAATTTGCAATGAAGCATTCTGCGCAAAATTTATCATAAAATTGTGTAATGATTGATAACATATAATAGACAGAAGAAAATTTTAATATTGAAAAGTATGATACACATATTGCATTGTGGTTATTCAAATGTTGGAATACTTTTCAGAGTTGTCTATTGCTATAATATTGCCATAAATTACTTGAGGTGTGCATGCATTCACTCACGAACTTTATGTCTTCAGTACCTGGTAGTAGACAATTTCAGATTCAGTTTTCACAAACAATTAAAAAATACCTGAGTGATTGAAAAATATTCAGATCATGTAATTATATAACCAATATTATATATATACTGTACAAACATTTTAGTAGTGCTGTCAAAGTAATGTACAATATGTAAAAAAAACATATGCTGTACATTGTGCTACACTGTGTATTAATATGTAATTACACTTTAGGTTTTGTGTAAGGAAAAGAAAGGTCTCTTTAAGTGTTCCTCGACATTATTTTTTTTTCTTTTGCCACAAGTGGTCTGTCCCTGTTCATCTGATAATGTTTTTGATGTGGCACATGTTTAACTTAAGTCATTTGAATTTTTGAAAACTTGTACATTTGATTCTTGTCCTTGTCATTTCAAGTGAAATGTTCCAAATCAAAACATTATCTCCAATGTAATTCATAAAAAATAAAAAAAAATAAGGACCTATTTTAAGATCATAAGGAAAAGCAATTTTGTCAAATCAGGATTAACAATCATTTCATCATAATTTGTAAAATGTTTCCTTATTTATTATTCCAAGTTGTGCTGGAGAACTAAGGATGTTGCACTTCCTCTTTAGACATTATTAACTAAAGAGCTTTTTTAGGCTTAAAGAGGGGAACACATGTTAACTGTCATCTCTTTCTTGATGATTTTGTATTTTAAAACTTTGTTTTAGATCAAATCTACAATCTTCTTGATGTTATGGAAGTACCTGTGGCTACATTTTATGTCTTGTACATTGGTAAAAGATTGCTAAAGATTCAAGGTTTCAGCTAAATATATTGTGAAAAAAAGTAGTGAAATGACCATACTGTTAAATTAAAATCTATATAATAAATGTGGTTCATGATGTCATGAATTTATCTCTTAGTTCATGTTCAGTGTGGTTGACATGTGAGTCATTTGCACATTTATGCATTTTCCCATGTTTTCGAGAAAAAAATCCCCCCAAAAAAATCATCTTCCAAAATGTTTTGATTAGTTTGATCAACTTTGAATTCTGTACTTTCATGCTTCATTTTCTTTTTGTCACGTCTACTTTTGTAAATAGTTTTATCTAGCTGAAACTGCCCATCATAATTTCATTGCATCAGCATCACATTTAACCTCAATTTTCATAAAGTTCATGAAATGTTTCAACCCAGTTGTTACTATGTGACGCCAATATCATTATCTCCATTATTTCATGTGATTTTGAGGTGAAAGATTTAAATTCTGGTATTTTTCCTTGAGCTTAATGTAAATACGATGCCGCAACAAGTATTGAAAATTAATGGATATTTTGATTTTCCAATCGTACTTGCTCATCTTATTGTCAATGCAGAAAAAAATGAAAAAAGCAGTCACAAGTTGAAACAAAAAAAGGAAACGCTTGTCAATGCAGATCAAGCTTAAAAATGAATTATGTATGGGAGTTAACTTTAAATATAAGAATTAAATGAATTTATCCCAATACTGAAAGGATGGTATTTACTGTACCAAACTGTATATGTAGTTTTTTGGTGAAGTTTATTATAAATAATTTTTTAATTACAGTGAGTAAATTTCACTAAATCTTTTTATTTCATGATCCCCCTTATATCACCCCAGATCTAATTTGGAAATACTTATGTGTAACCGTGTCATAAAATGGGAGTAACAATCGCTCCGTTATTCTTTCTATTCAAAATGGATGCTTGTCGAGTCCCCATTATCGTAAAGGGAATGTATAGAAAGGATTAGAGTGGTAATCGCACCACCCATAGATCAGAACAAGTTGAAATATTAAATATTGTTAAACAAGGAGGAAATAAAAGTACATGATTGTCCCAAGGTTCAAGCAATGTGTTATAAACTTGGACATCAGAAACAGAGTAACAATCCAAGTGTGATTATCTCTATATTATCATCTAAAAATTAGAGGAGTTTAATTGATGAATAGAAAGCAGTCAATGAGCTGAGAAGTATTTCAGTTTTACTGCTAAGACAAGAAAGGATGTGAATATTTTTGGGACAAGAGGATGGGGGGAGGGAGGGGGTTTTCCAGGGTATGGATAAAACTGTACAGTTTTATTTTTTATTACTTTGTGCAGTAGATGTCGGTGTAAATGTGTACTGCCTGTTGTTGATTTTTCTCCATTCTGTGATTTTGTTGACTGTCTACCTGAGTTTGTCATTGTTTACCTGTGTAATCAGTACAAAGAGATGTGTGTGTGTGTGTGTGTGTGTGTGTGTGTTAGGAAACTGGTGAACACTGGTGCTTGAATTGAACTGAATTGCCAATACTCCCATTGAGAACCGGATTTGGCATAGGCTACAGTAATGTCCATTTTGATAAATGTAGACATGAGGATGAAAAGGGCTCATACATTTTGTATGTATTTAAAAATCAAATCAAGCACCTGTGCTGATAATATATTAACATGAGGTAGATCTTGTGTATTACATCATTATGATGTATAGGAATATAGAAGTGGAGTGGCTAATAGTGTGTTAATTACTTTTATTAATTTCCATGAAGTAGCTCTATATATAAAATAATATTGAGTGTGTCAGTTCAGTCTTATCAGTACTATTATGTATTGTAGAATGAGGCGAGAGTGTTGATCGTAGGTCAGCTTCAATGTTTTACATTATGTTCTGTTTCTATTAGCTCAGATATGCTTAAAAAGTCCTAGTATTGTAGAGCTACACTTAATGTATGATTTGTTTTAATTAGTCTGTAGCAGTTACTACTTTAACATCTGAAATTTCTTAATGATTAGGGCAGATGTAAATTAGAAAAATAAAAGCGTGTTTGGAACATAATTGGTTTGAATTTCAAAAGGAAAGAAAAATCAAATGGTGGATAAGTAAATTGAAGTTGATTATTTAAAAAAAATTCTTCAAAACGAATTTTGGAAAATTTTCATTCAAACACTAGTTTCATAGTATTTGACATTTGGAGCCTATTGTTAATGACTGTCCTAAATCGTGGTTGTAATGTGTTTGTAAGGTTAAAAAGTTAATTTCATTTCTTTCACTGACCATTGTTTCCTGTAAAGCTTATTTCTGGCATTTCTTCTGTATAGTAATGGAATTTTAATAAATGTTGAAGTTCTGAAATGAATGGTTGCCTCATTTGTTGAGTTATTATTACAAATCAAATTGAGATCTTACATCTTGTTGTAATGAACATAACTGGTTGTTAGTCTAGCCTGGGAAATTCATCCTCAGCCCCAGGTGAAAATCACACTTAAGTTATTTAACCTGTGATATTTATCCGGGACAGGACGGGGATGGGGCTATTTTGCATTGAACTAGAGAAGTGGGAAAAATAAAGGAAAAAAAATAATGAGAAATGATCTTTTAAAGAGAAAAATTTCAACCGGATATTTACTGTATGCTTTTTAAAACTAGAGTGACCCATGCATGAAAATCTTCATGTATCAAGTCGTGTCACATGCTCAAAGGGAAAACAACAGCATTCTACTCAACTACTGCTCTACTAGGAGATGGTAAACGATATGTTTTAATTCCTTAGGCAATCTCTGCTTGTAAATATTTTGTAATGGGAAACTAACACAAGAAGACTGTCTTGTTTACAAAAACTTTTTTATTTGGTCATCGGTTGATATTCAGCATGCTGACTTGAAGTGTATCATTATTTGTATGATAGCTATGTTTTTTAGGATACTACGGCATGCACATGTTATTTTTAAATATATATATAATTCTCAATTTACATTTTCTAGCACCTGTATCACCATGATGCAGGTGCGATTCCCCAACGTTATAGAGAACTGAAGATTTAAAAAATGTGGACCCCATGCATCCAAACATTACTGTGTGGTCATATATCATAACCATGTTCATAATGGTTTTACTAGTCACTGAGAGTCCTAGGATCGGATGCTTTGTCATCTTTTAGACAAAATATAGTCCCACTGAATATGATTAATTGGCATATTTTCTAAACAAATAATGGTGTTCCTTTAATTGTAACTTTATAGGGTTACTATATATTATAAACCGCATTTTTTGTGTGAAATCGACAGTCTACGATAGAAAACAGTCTTACTTATGTTGTATACAATACAAGACAGGAGATGAAGAAAGGTAGATTTCAACATTGCTGACGTAATGATTATCAACACAGGTACATTTGAGCACGATCTTGTCTAAAATTGTCTTCTAAACGACGTCTTTGAAAACGATCCACTATGTTTTTGGACCTAAACGTATCCATGTTACTTATTGTGTATCACACGACTATCCTGTTTATTGTACACACGTAAGGTAATCGACCGACTTCTGACTCAATTTGATTGTTCTTTTTTTTCTCGTTCTATATTTAGTAACTTATCCTGTGTGTCTTCCTACAAAGCAGTAGGTAAACCATGATTCATTATGTATTGTGTTCAAGGATAATTGTATAGGATTTAAACCATTGTCTGGCACTGTCAATAACAATGGCAGTTTCTTGATATTTAAAAAACATGACCTTGTTTAAGAATTTATGAATAGTTCATTACTCGTAGGCATTGCCAGTGATGCATGGTATGGTGCAGCATTTTCCCGTCAGTCCACCTTCAACTTATACAACTTTCGTCACAAACCAACGATCCGCAGCACGTATATGGAGTAATAGAAGATATTTCACAGAAGGGGTGGGGTTAAACATTAGGGTCCGACTAATATTTTGCTTTTAGCTTTTTTGGGTGAGTCGCAGTAACTTTCCTCATATCTATTTAACTGTCTTAACGTTCCTTTTTACGGTCTTTCAGCAAACGAGGGTTTCTTCATATAGATGACCTTGACATTTTTAAACATCACAAATCTCGAATACGTTAAAAGAATCAGAATCTTCTCCGGTTCTATAAGACACATCATGACCAGCGAGTACCAGAATGACTGTGCTGTTACGTTTATCATCGGATCACGGAGGTCATGATTTACAAAGGTCACATTTGTATGTCTCGAAAACCTAAGAATCTTTTCAAACTATAGACTTCAATTAAATGTTCTTCTCTTTTTTATTAGCGACATAACCGGATAAGTACTCAAGACAACGGATTGATAGTTATGAACATCTTATAAAAAAGCGATACAGCACCGTGAGAGGTTTTGTTAACCATTTTTCACCGCCGACCGATTGTCTCCCCTTCCTATATTGTACACCTCGATATACTGCCGCCTATTTGTTGTCCATTTTTTTACGGTATATTTCGGTATGTTATCACGTTTGTCGCCTCTTTCTATACTTTTACAAAAGTTTAGACCGTTTCCTTATGGAACACCTCGATGTACTACTGTCTGATAGTTGCCCGTTTCTTAGCGAACCACCTCGATATATTGCCACATTTGTCGTCTCTTTCTATACACTACACCTCGGCATACTGCAATCTGACTATCTCTCCTTTCTGTACACTGTACCTTGATGTTTTGTCACTTATCAGCACCCTTTCTATTTATTTTGACGTTCGATCGACTTTTTTTTATATCGACTGTCAATCCAAGTCGATAGAACGTCCGAGTCATTCGCTAACACAGTGAATCGCGTTATTCATTCTTTATATCGTTTCATGTTTCGTTATAACAAACCGATATGTTGCCACCTGTTTAACACGACACGTCTCAATATTTTGCATGTCAGTTTTTATTATCTTAATTACAGTGCGTACGTATACATCTACGTGTGTGTGTGTTTATTTTTGTTTTTTTTTTTTTTGTTTTTTTTTCCCAAATCCGCTAACATTTACCTTGTACGACTTCCGCTGGAAACGACATTGATGTGCAAGTTTTACGCAGTATTGCTAGGACCTCTACTAACTAAGCAGGGTGTGTATTTTGTTGGCTAAGTGGAGATCTATATAGAGCCACACTATTACTTCCCATACACCTGATAGGTTAATCGTGATAATTAGAACAATTAGCATTTTTATGAAGTAGGCCGTATCGGCTTGTAATTTTGATGGGTGGTGTTGTATGATTAAATTTCCATAATTGATCGTAAACGGCTTAGATTACTGAAAAACATACATAAGTTTAGGTATTGAAATGTTTATATATATACCATGCAGCAACGATAATGAATTCTGTGGGTACATCGGGACCAGCCTATGACTATGTCATTATATATAAGCATCTGTGAAATCAAATGCAGTTTTAATTTCGAACTTTTCTTAAGAAATGTATAATACAATGATGTTTTAGGTGATGAATGGTTGGTGATACATTTTGGGGCCTTACTAATAACTTACCAGTATTAATCTATCCCGACCTCATACAAGACTTTTTTTCTGTTTGGGGTAATATGATAAAGCTTAGCTTCTACTCTGCTGTCAAATCGTAACCCTAACCATAGAAAAAGGCTTTAAAAAGGTCGATTTAAGTCCCAGTAACGAAACGTACATCCCAATTCTACATGGAAACCCCTACGGCTACCTTCACCTCAACTCTTCCCTCCGTTGCTTTCGACCCGATCCCTTACTCAACAGAAGTTTCTTTAACTGGATCATTATTTGTTCTTATTCAAAAGTGTTGTTTACATTGAGGGCAAACCAACAGAACTTCGGTATTCCAAGTCTCTACATATATCCAGTTCTGTAATTATGAATATGTCTTCATTCACATGTATCATGCTTGTGATCCGAGTTATGGATAAATGTCAGTTCAGGCCCCACTTGTCTAAAACATCTCCACTTGAGATTTCCTCAAGTCGAGATTTTCCTCAGCTAATATCTCCTTGAAAATATCTTGTATGAAAATTCCTCAAGGAATTTCAGGACATCCTAGCCTATGAATTCCTCCTGTTCCTTGAGAAAATTTTATACAAGCCGTTTTAGAGGAGATATCAGCTGAGGAAAATCTCGACTTGAGGAAATCTCAAGTTGAGATCATTTTACAGAGTGTGTGTGACCAACAATATCTACCGGGAATGAAATTGACATATTTTTGTTTATTCTAGGTTCTTCTTTTAATAAAACGTATCCAGTGTAATTATCATAACATTAGGTAGCAATTTTTGACTGAAAAATCACTTGCATGTTAATCTTTTGAAAATAATTTATTTTTTAATTTAATTGGAAGCCGTAAATATGACTAACTCAGTTCCTTCTAAATTTATATTTCAAATGGACATGACTGTATTTATTTTGGAACATTTGACTATTGTCATTTGTTATCATGATTACTACAAGCCAGTAGTGTCACAACAGTCTCGTGATTATCATGTTTACAGTAGGGAGTGTCCCGTGCTTCCCTAGCCACGTGGCTAAATCTCACTTTGGGTAACGCCCTTTTGTAACACATTTAGTTTATTCAACGGATTTTGGAGAGGTATACCTATGCTCGATATATGAGTTGCCCATTACAATGGAATCAGCCAACCGTTGAAAGTCGAGAATATAGATATACAAACCACGTTCAGTTCATAAGACCACTTAAAATTTCAGATTGAACTTATTGCGTAGATTTAACTTAATGTGAAAATTGATGGGTGGTTATTTGACATGAAAGAGGAAGTTACGACAACAGAGTGTATGATAAAATATATTGATCGTCGGGTGAAGAACGATTCAGATGGAAGTTCAGTAGCTTTTAAAGCTATTCGTGCTCAGATCGGGTTTTTAAAATTATGGGCTGGGTTAATTTAAGTACTAAATAACAACTTAATTATGTAAACTGACAATCGGCGTAATGGAATTAAAAGGTACTGCATGATATAATGGCAACGCTAAGGAAAATTACAAATAGTGTTTCCTGGATCAGTGATATTGAAACTATATTTCTTGTGTATTATTGTTTAGAAGCAGAAAAAGAAATGTGATTTTTAAGTGTGTATATACAAATATACATCTCCGATCGATGTCACTGAAGAGTTGGTCCACGGATCAACTATGTTCATCAATATTTTTTTTTTAATTTTTCATTTCAAATTGCACTGATGAAAATAAGTGCAGAATACACCAGGAACAACATGTTAATTGTTAGAGATGTGTCCCTGACTCTGAAAATGGCATAAATGATTATGTTAAATAATAATAATTATAACAATAACAAAACAATGGGCGATATCCTTCGCAGAATGAAAACAAAGAGATAAACTAGACAGTCAAATAAATAAATCAATAAATAAATAAAATAGATAAATAAATAAATACAATGTATATATATTTTTTCCACATTGCTATTGGGCTTGGTTAAAATGTATGTGTTAATTTTACTCGCCTTTTATGTCTATAATGTATAAACTAACCACGCCCTGTATTCACTTCGCTAGTCTAAAGGATATGTATACCGCAGGTAGTCGTTGTATGTTCGGCCTCACTACCCAAGACATCGTCAGTCTATCGAGTTATTTTATTTTCGCTTTGTTTTTTCAAAATGTTTAACTTCCTGTGTGTATATTTAACATGGTAAGATAATGAAAATTGATTAAACTTTGAAAATCAAACTCGGAGACATTTAAATGTTTCAAGACACCTAAAAAAGAGACTTTGAATCACAAATTGACGACGGAAGCTAACAATGGTAGAGATATTCGCCTAGTTGACGTGGATACAGGTATCTAACTTGGTTACATCTTCATGATGTTTAGTAAACAGCTATACGTCCATAAGTCATGTGTGTAGTTGAATAATGTTAACATCCAGTTATAAAGTACATATGTAGATCAGCCCTATTTCCCACTGCTTTACACCGTACCAACCCAATACACAGAAGTAACGACTGACTACAAGGCAGGTTCTTCATGACGTACCGCTTCACTAGTATACCATGTGAATTACACGGCTCGTGGTCAACACTTGTATATACTATGTTGGGGCACCCATTATCGTCCTCCACCTGACCTTTATTTCACGGAAGAATAACAAACGTGTTGATTACATCACGGGGATATGAGAATATATTACACGTCTATTTGTATACATTCCGACATGTTTTGTAACGTTTTAGATATGTTCTTTAATTATCTAATTTCAGTTATCTACATATGTGTACTTTATTTATTTTTTTTCGTTGAGTGTGTGTAAAGGGTGGGGTATTTTTTACCTACGTTTCTTTAGATAAAGTAACCAAACCAAAGACCCTTAGTTCATAACTCGGAGCCAATATCATAACATGATGAATTGGGTTGGAAGGGGATGAAGGGAGGAGTTAGAGGTGATGAAATATGACTGGAACCACGTGGAATAATTTTCTTCTATGACTGTTTAAGTGGGTCGCGATCGAGTTAATTTAGTGCGTTATCTGTACCTGTAGAGGTAAACAACCTTCGACACAAGATATAGTATGTTTGATCACCTTAGTTAATAGGTGTCATTGTGTTCCGAAGTACGTCATCGGATATATGTCATGTGTATTATCGATCGTCCATCCGTGTTCCAAGATTACGGAAATCACACTTACAATACATAAGTCACAAGATTTATTGTCTGTTACGTAAATTTGCTACTCGTTGATTTAAATCCTACAAGAATATTACAACTTAAAATTCAGACTAGTAAAGCATTTAGTATCTTCATTAAAATATACACAAGGAAGTCGCTGTGTCTGTGGTCTGTGGTAAAAAAGGACGTTTTTAAAACTTGTTTTGTATGAAAGCGAATTCAACAAGCTTTCCAAAATACAATATTAATTTACATATCTATCAAATATACGTTAAAGTTTAACTGTGTCCATTGTTTCGACAGATCATTTGTATCGTCATGATATTATAATTCATAAGTCTAGGAACAGAATATTGTTTCGACAACGCCCTATACTTCGGAGACAGGTTAGTGTACAAAACCCGCCACACTTTCAGACACGCTCGAACGCCTTTTGTCTCTTCGCGGTTAAACCCTAGGCCTGGTTGTTATCGTAGTCTCATAATGTGTCTGAGTTTTTAATATACATATATATTGTACAAAAGAAATCACCTCCACTGTGAATTAAGACTTATAAGCTGATGTCTATTTCGGATATACATTTAACTTTGATCCCTAAAGTCAACAGATATTACTTAAATATAGAGGCGAGGTAAAAATAGTCAGTATACATCGATACTGGTAAAAATAGCGACACTGTGATTAGGACAAACCAAGCTACACCCGTACGCCCTGATCAACAGCCAATACACGCTAAGAGATTTTAAGTACCTATACTCATTTACTTAATGGATTACAAATCCACAGGGACAGAATTTAAGCATATAAGTAGTTAATGCATATAACATGCACACCGGATACATATATAGAAGATTAAATCATAACAAAACAGGATTACAAAAACTCCTTGTTTTATAAGACCGGTTGGACGCTGGGAAACAAACAAACATAAAGTACAACTCTGTCTTCTTTAACTATAAAAACACAGAAGAAAAAAAAAGAGTTTCCTTCATTGCTTTGTTACACAAGAGACATAATGGGCCTGTTAATTTGCTAACTTTTGAAAACTTCTAATTCAATAAATCGACTTTTATATTATCAATATTATATGAAATCAAGCAGGTGTAATAAACATATATATATATATATGTATGTATATATATGATATTTATTATGTTCTATGTATGTGATGTAATTTATGTGATAATTTGTATCTTGATAAAGTGTCTGATTCCCTCCAAGATTCACTTGTCCATACTGTAATTGCTTCATTGATCATACATCTATGCCAGCAATAGGCATCCGAACAACATTTGTAAGAATCCAATGGTACTGGATCCTAACAGACAGATGTTCCTCAGCTGTGTTACTGGAATAGATATATGATCAATGAAGTAATTTAACAGTACGGACAAGTGAATTTTACACTACTTAATCTTACTTGATAACTTTGTATCTATTTCATGTTCCATGTATGTGATGTAATTAATGTAATGTTTTGTGTGTTAGGGACAGGTTGCCTAAAAAATCTGACAATTCCATTGTCTGTCATTATTACTTCATTGATTTTTTAAAATTCTTGTTGTTATTTTTGTTTTTGTTTGTTTTTGGACAGACTTAGATATATTGAAGTTGGTGTTTTTTAAGCTGTTTCCTGTAAAACTCATGAAAGATTTGTTATATTGACATAAACTTAAAACTGGTTTAAACCCCAATCTGTGTGGGTATCACAACATCTCCACAGGACCATCGGTTTAATAAATTTGACTTTGAAAGAACTTGATACATTATTATAACATTGTAGCAACCCTTTGACTGCTAATTAAAACCCGCTGATATATGCGATATTCTACAATTATTTCATTGGAATGGCTGACTAAATCGTTACCAATCCAAGGTGATGTTGGCACCAAGCATGGTTTTACACAAGTTTGACCTTTGACCTTATTTGCTACACATCCTCTCTAAGGCATCATGGAGGAATTTATGAAATGAGAATAAGGCAAGAGTTTCATCAATAGTCTATCTGGAACAGAAACGAATATAAGATTCTGTAACCACGTAACTTTGATACTTTTCGAAAGAAAAAACAATAAAACCCCAGAACTTTATTAGACAGATACCAAATGTAAGTGGACAATGTTCTCATTCTATAAGGCTTTCTTATGGACTTGATAACGAAAATCACACCATGAAGTTATGAACTCAGACTGGAAGGGGAAACCTTCTATTTCTTCATCTATTAATTAATTAATTTATCTACAGGTTTTACCTCACAGCTGTTCACCAGAGAGGTCATCTTCAGTCAATCACAGCTCTTCTAGGTCATATCACATGCATGCTCTAACAAGCAATTATGTAAGTGATCCTTGATGTTACGCTAATAACAGGGTAGAGAAGGGATAAAGGTCCTCCTTGTATAGCAGGAACAAATATGTATTGTTAAAATTCAAGATGGTCACCCATTAATGACTTTTTTCTTCAGATTTGTCCAAAAGCATAGTAACGAACAAGAAGGAAAGTAAGAGTAAAGTTTGGGATGTATCAACTGAATATATCTTGAGAAAAAAAGAAAACATTCTTGAGAGCTGAAATCCAAAATAACTACCTGTCAACCTGACACATTGATTTCATACTCAGTCCCGTCTTCCTCACCAATAGGCACCGAGGAGAACCTTCATATATGTTATCAAAGAATGAAACCTCGGAAAAAGTGATAAAAAAATTTAAACTATCAAAACCAACACTTCAAGGTTTACTTCACTTTCCTCCTGAAAAGTTCAATTGTTGGAGCTTAATGCAGCAAATAGAAAGCACCATTCTGATTGGTCAATACAACTTAACATATCAAAATGCTGTTTTATAAGTTTCCATCACATTAATAATTTCTCCCGATAGAAATATATTTTTGTACACTGAAATATGTTTGATAACAATAAAAGCAGGTGAGTTTGGTCAGACTTTAATCACTGTCTTGGTCATATGTTGGTGTATTTTTCATACTTCATGACCTAGATACAAATCTTTGTACTTACCAATGACTGTATCACATTTAAGATATAAGTGATACTGATGTGTTTCTAATGTTCATCAGGATTAAATCACAAAGTAATTATTGGAAGCTAAATTGACAAAACCCTGCTTTGCAACAAGATAAATCACAAAGGTAAGATTTTTCCAACTATCATATTTGAAAACTGACAATTTACACACATCTGAGAAAAAATTATTCAAGAGCAATTCAGATTTAGTATACCATTCCAATAAATGAATTGAATTTTAATAATCATAAAAGTTTATTTTTTTTACTTTATCAGTCAAATAATTTTAAAATTGCATAAATTCTTTAAGTTGAATTACATTGAAATATTAGAACATCATGTACTTTTTCTGAGGACTAACCAAGTCCACTCTTGTTTATAGATGAAGCTGCTGATGGGCTGTCCATATTATTGTCATTGCTGTTCTGTTCACCTCCCTCAGTAAATTTATCACATTTTCTTTTACTGGCTATTCCATTCAAATCTTCTGTAATGTCAGTTTCAGAAATCTTGTGTTTCCTCGTTGTCTCATCAAATTTATATTCAGTTATATTTTCATTCTCTTTATGTTTCAAGTTTATTGAAGATTCACAACTTGTCTGGGATATATTATCACTTGCATTTTCCTCCTGACAGAGTTGTCTCCACCTGACTGCCACTGCATCTGTCATTTCAGCGGATCCTGGTTTGCGACCATCATCTATACCCAGTACAATTGATGCTACAATTGCAGCATTCTGTTCTGCAATACTTTTCGATTTTTCCCTGTAGAAATAGATACAGTTTTACGTATGTTATGGTTGATTACATACATGGTTTCCATCGCCATGATTCTTCCTATCCCTAGGCATTGTCTCAAAGATGAATGTTAAGTGTTGTGGTAGCACGCTAGGTATTTTAGGATTCTCAAATCTTTATAAATTAATTCTAATAACTGTGTCTCTTATCATTATCATTGTAATACTGTTGAATTATTTTCAATTTTTTCAAAACTAAATATGACTGAAAAAAAAAAATAATAAAATTTCAAAATCAAATAAAAATTTAAAAAATCTTACCAGAAGGCGCTTTTGTATTTCGTCTCTCCCAATGTCATCACACTCATGAAATAGCGATCTCCTTCTCTCTCCACCTACAGTAAAGGATATATTAGTGTATACTGACATACTGGAGCATTAATTTGTTACATGTATATATCATGGTTGTGTAATATTGATCAGTCAGAGACAGCGGTCACATAGATATAATTTGTTGTTTTGTTGGGTTTATAAACAGACAAGGTCGTTTTAAAGCGAAGTCTCCTTGAAGAAGGTGGTGGCTACTGCAATGAACAACAGATTGGAGGCCTGTTGCATGTCGTCCAGAGCAACTGAAGTAAAGTGTCATGCTAAAGGACAAAATGATATTAGCACAGTCTGGTCTGTTTCTCAGGTCCCAGAGAAAGACAATCTGTCATGGATAGAGAGTATTGGACTGAACAGCTCAGCCCTTCATCTGAAGTTATATAGACCAAAGCTATACCGACAGAGTCCACAGTCCAAAATAGATATTAATTGTAACGTACCTAGAACAACATTTTACAATCTTAACAGTGTACTGCTTTTGTTTCTATTCATGGTTAGATGCTTTTAAACAGTTTTTCTTTACAACAAGATTACCTGATTTTCATCTGATTCAATCGGTGATGATCCAACAATGAAAAAGATATGTGTAAATTAATGGATTAAAGAAATCATACCTTTAAACAGTAAAACTTGTCAATAAACACTGATTTAAATAAATTATATTTTCAAAGCATGGAAGAACAGTTCAAACTATTTTGCAGGAAATTAATCAAACTGATTATAATCAATAATAAATCAATGTGTATTTATGTATTGGTGATGAAAATAGAACCGATTAATGTAACTTACAGTGTTGTAATCTGGACGTAGGATCTTATTCCGCCTAGCCCACTCAAACAGCCTCTGTTTAGCACTGATTCCAACAGGGTAGTCCTTCCTGTATAACATCATTAAGGAAACACATAATTGATTATTATCATCATAATAGTGCAAAAGAAAAAAACACTTAATGTTTATCTTTTATAAATTACTGTATATGTTTCAGATCTGTAGGTTGTAAAAAGTTTGAAATTCAATTTTAAAAACGCAAAGGATAGGGCTTTAGAATTGTCTGTTGCTGAAAATTTCAGTGAAATGGAATATATGGGATATTTTGTTCATTTCCACTCAGTTCTAATAATCAATAATCTTAGATATCCAAGGGTTGATCTTGGATACATATTGAGTGTATATACAAGACAAACCCTTGGCCAGCAAGATGCTAATTAATATACTGCAGTGCTTTTCCAACCTTAATTTTCCAGCAGCCTATTCTTGTATGAACTGGGAAAATATAGTAATGTTTTCTTTAAAACTGGGAAGATGTTTTTGATAGCAAAGTTTTGTTCAAGGGGAAACAAATTATTTTGGCCATAGAACATGACAGTTAGAAAATAATAGATAAAATGTTATGGTAATATTGATGAAATTCCAATCATTCCATGCAGTGGCTAGGTCAGTAGGTATTTCAGGAAAATTATAGGTAAACAAATCATGAGTATGAGAATAGTAAGTACAGATGTGCAATTAATTTAACTCCAGAATGGCATTTCAGACTTCGGCTAATAAATTATCAAACTGATGTAAGCTTGCTGAGAACAACTTCATAAAATACAAAATTGTAACAAAGGGCAATAATTCAGTAACTTAGGGGTGGAAGGTCCTGAATTTGGCACATTGCACATTTTCTTGGTATGACCAATATATACACCAAACCTCATCACTGTAGCTTAATACAAACAAACTTTTGCTCTGGACACACAAAAAATTAACAAAGGGCAGTAACTCTGAAAGTTTGGGGTCCAGGGCCATGAATTTAGAAGACTGCACATTGCCTTAGTATAACCAATGTACATACCAAATTTCATGATCCTTGCTTAACTATGGGCAAAGTTATGCTCCAGACTGATGGATGGACTGACAGACATGGTGGTAACTATATGCTCCTCCTAAAATGTTCGAGGAGCATGATAATGGACAAAAATGATCTGACAAAATATTGAAAAATGAATTTCATTCACACTTCATTCAAGCCCTTAAATACAACATACTTAAGGTAGCGGACTGGCATTTCCACAAATTCCATATCTCCATTTTCTGTTTTCTTTGTTGTAATTTCTATCTTTTTATCAAAGAGTTCCATCTCTTTCTTCTTCCAACATGCTTTTAAGTCCTCAAAGTACTGTCGGAGGCCCCATATGTCACTGAAAAACATTAAACACTTTTTAAAAAGACTGGTCTACGTTGATATTTGAGATAACCCATAATTTATCATAGTGGTACCATGTCATATTGGTGTCATTAATGACCTTTGAGACATCCCATATCACAGAAGTGTCTTTAAAATCACCTTTGATATAACCCCTCACCTGATATCCTCCTGAGACATTGATGCCAGCATCTTCTGTCCCTCCTCCAAATCCATGTCTTCATGCATCATGTTGAGGACACAATACTTGATGTTGGTATAGACATTGTTGTACTGCAGGGCCTACAACATACCAACATGTGTAATCTAATTACAAATAGAGAAAACAGAGCATAAAACACTTAAACAACAGGTAATTCATTTACAGAGAAACCAGGACATACAACACATAAACAACAGGTAATCCACTTATAGAGAAACCAGGACATACAACACATAAACAACAGGTAATTCATTTAAAGAGAAACCAGGACATACAACACATAAATAACAGGTAATCAACTTATAGAGAAACCAGGACATACAACACATAAACAACAGGTAATTCATTTATAGAGAAACCAGGACATACAACACATTAACAACAGGTAACCCACTAATAGAGAAACCAGGACATACAACAAATAAACAACAGGTAATCCATTTATAGAGAAACCAGGGTATACAACACATAAACAACAGGTAATCCATTTATAGAGAAACCAGGGTATACAACACATAAACAACAGGTAATCCACTTATAGAGAAACCAGGGTATACAACACATAAACAACAGGTAATTCATTTATAGAGAAACCAGGACATACAACACATAAACAACAGGTAATTCATTTATAGAGAAAGCAGGACATACAACACATAAACAACAGGTAATTCATTTATAGAGAAACCAGGACATACAACACATAAACAACAGGTAATTCATTTATAGAGAAACCAGGACATACAACACATTAACAACAGGTAACCCACTTATAGAGAAACCAGGACATACAACACATAAATAACAGGTAATCCACTTATAGAGAAACCAGGACATACAACACATTAACAACAGGTAACCCACTTATAGAGAAACCAGGACATACAACACATAAACAACAGGTAATTCACTTATAGAGAAACCAGGACATACAACACATAAACAACAGGTAATCAACTTATAGAGAAACCAGGACATACAACACATTAACAACAGGTAACCCACTTATAGAGAAACCAGGACAAACAACACATAAACAAGAGGTAATCCACTTATAGAGAAACCAGGACATACAACACATTAACAACAGGTAACCCACTTATAGAGAAACCAGGACATACAACACATAAGCAACAAGTAATCAACTTATAGAGAAACCAGGACATACAACACATCAATAACAGGTAACCCATTTATAGAGAAACCAGGACATACAACACATAAACAATAGGTAACCCACTTATAGAAACCAGGACATACAACGCATAAACAACAGGTAACCCACTTATAGAGAAACCAGGACATACAACACATAAATAACAGGTAATTCACTTATAGAGAAACCAGGACATACAACACATAAACAACAGGTAATTCATTTAAAGAGAAACCAGGACATACAACACATTAACAACAGGTAATCCACTTATAGAGAAACCAGGACATACAACACATAAATAACAGGTAACCCACTTATAGAAACCAGGACATACAACACATAAATAACAGGTAATTCACTTATAGAGAAACCAGGACATACAACACATAAATAACAGGTAATTCACTTATAGAGAAACCAGGACATACAACACTTAAACAACAGGTAATTCATTTACAGAGAAACCAGGACATACAACACATAAACAACAGGTAATCCACTTATAGAGAAACCAGGACATACAACACATAAACAACAGGTAATTCATTTAAAGAGAAACCAGGACATACAACACATAAATAACAGGTAATCAACTTATAGAGAAACCAGGACATACAACACATAAACAACAGGTAATTCATTTATAGAGAAACCAGGACATACAACACATTAACAACAGGTAACCCACTAATAGAGAAACCAGGACATACAACAAATAAACAACAGGTAATCCATTTATAGAGAAACCAGGGTATACAACACATAAACAACAGGTAATCCATTTATAGAGAAACCAGGACATACAACACATAAACAACAGGTAATCCACTTATAGAGAAACCAGGGTATACAACACATAAACAACAGGTAATTCACTTATAGAGAAACCAGGACATACAACACATTAACAACAGGTAATTCATTTATAGAGAAAGCAGGACATACAACACATAAACAACAGGTAATTCATTTATAGAGAAACCAGGACATACAACACATAAACAACAGGTAATTCATTTATAGAGAAACCAGGACATACAACACATTAACAACAGGTAACCCACTTATAGAGAAACCAGGACATACAACACATAAATAACAGGTAATCCACTTATAGAGAAACCAGGACATACAACACATTAACAACAGGTAACCCACTTATAGAGAAACCAGGACATACAACACATAAACAACAGGTAATTCACTTATAGAGAAACCAGGACATACAACACATAAACAACAGGTAATCAACTTATAGAGAAACCAGGACATACAACACATTAACAACAGGTAACCCACTTATAGAGAAACCAGGACAAACAACACATAAACAAGAGGTAATCCACTTATAGAGAAACCAGGACATACAACACATTAACAACAGGTAACCCACTTATAGAGAAACCAGGACATACAACACATAAGCAACAAGTAATCAACTTATAGAGAAACCAGGACATACAACACATCAATAACAGGTAACCCATTTATAGAGAAACCAGGACATACAACACATAAACAATAGGTAACCCACTTATAGAAACCAGGACATACAACGCATAAACAACAGGTAACCCACTTATAGAGAAACCAGGACATACAACACATAAATAACAGGTAATTCACTTATAGAGAAACCAGGACATACAACACATAAACAACAGGTAATTCATTTAAAGAGAAACCAGGACATACAACACATTAACAACAGGTAATCCACTTATAGAGAAACCAACACAACACATAAATAACAACAGGACATACAACACATAAGCAACAAGTAATCAACTTATAGAGAAACCAGGACATACAACACATCAATAACAGAAACCAGGACATACAACACATAAACAATAGGTAACCCACTTATAGAAACCAGGACATACAACGCATAAACAACAGGTAACCCACTTATAGAGAAACCAGGACATACAACACATAAATAACAGGTAATTCACTTATAGAGAAACCAGGACATACAACACATAAACAACAGGTAATTCATTTAAAGAGAAACCAGGACATACAACACATTAACAACAGGTAATCCACTTATAGAGAAACCAGGACATACAACACATAAATAACAGGTAACCCACTTATAGAAACCAGGACATACAACACATAAATAACAGGTAATTCACTTATAGAGAAACCAGGACATACAACACATAAATAACAGGTAATTCACTTATAGAGAAACCAGGACATACAACACATAAACAACAGGTAATTCATTTAAAGAGAAACCAGGACATACAACACATAAACAACAGGTACCCCATTTATAGAGAAACCAGGACATACAACACATAAACAACAGGTAATTCACTTATAGAGAAACCAGGACATACAACACATTAACAACAGGTAATTCATTTATAGAGAAAGCAGGACATACAACACATAAACAACAGGTAATTCATTTATAGAGAAACCAGGACATACACCACATAAACAACAGGTAATTCATTTATAGAGAAACCAGGACATACAACAAATAAACAACAGGTAATTCACTTATAGAGAAACCAGGACATACAACACATAAACAACAGGTAATTCATTTAAAGAGAAACCAGGACATACAACACATAAACAACAGGTACCCCATTTATAGAGAAACCAGGACATACAACACATAAACAACAGGTAATTCACTTATAGAGAAACCAGGACATACAACACATTAACAACAGGTAATTCATTTATAGAGAAAGCAGGACATACAACACATAAACAACAGGTAATTCATTTATAGAGAAACCAGGACATACAACACATAAACAACAGGTAATTCATTTAAAGAGAAACCAGGACATACAACACATTAACAACAGGTAACCCACTTATAGAGAAACCAGGACATACAACACATAAATAACAGGTAACCCACTTATAGAAACCAGGACATACAACACATAAATAACAGGTAATTCACTTATAGAGAAACCAGGACATACAACACATAAATAACAGGTAATTCACTTATAGAGAAACCAGGACATACAACACATAAACAACAGGTAATTCATTTAAAGAGAAACCAGGACATACAACACATAAACAACAGGTACCCCACTTATAGAGAAACCAGGCCATACAACACAGAAATAAAAGGTAACCTACTTATAGAGAAACCAGGACATACAACAGATAAACAACAGGTAACCCACTTATAGAGAAACCAGGACATACAACACATTAACAACAGGTAACCCACTTATAGAGAAACCAGGACATACAACACATAAATAACAGGTAACCCACTTATAGAAACCAGGACATACAACACATAAATAACAGGTAATTCACTTATAGAGAAACCAGGACATACAACACATAAATAACAGGTAATTCACGTATAGAGAAACCAGGACATACAACACATAAACAACAGGTAATTCATTTAAAGAGAAACCAGGACATACAACACATAAACAACAGGTACCCCACTTATAGAGAAACCAGGCCATACAACACAGAAATAAAAGGTAACCTACTTATAGAGAAACCAGGACATACAACAGATAAACAACAGGTAACCCACTTATAGAGAAACCAGGACATACAACACATAAATAACAGGTAATCCACTTATAGAGAAACCAGGACATACAACACATTAACAACAGGTAACCCACTTATAGAGGAACCAGGACATACAACACAGAAAGGAATTAATCTGTCAAAATCCAAGATGCAGGTCAACTCTTTGTTGTATAATTTGCAGAACTAGAGATCAAGGTAAACATATATCTGAAATTTTAGTCAGATCATACAACTGTTTCTCAAGAAACAGCAATAACAATTAAACTGTCCAAAACCAAAATGACTGCCTGTTTGTGTTATCATTCAGCAATTGGCACAACTATAGACAATGGGAAACATACACAAGAAATTTATGAAGGTTCTATCGTGTTTTATCACAAAAAAGTGATAAATAAAATTGTATATAAGGACAGATCATGGATGAAAGATTTGAAAGGTGCACCATTTGATGATAGTAGGTAGCAACTCAGTAATACATTCAGAAATGCATTAGTAAAGTATGTCAAGAATCTATTGAAATAATGACTGTTGAACTGTTTCAACACATCAGTCACACACAAAATTCGCTATATCAAATATGTCATTTTATAACCAAAAATACATGACAAGTAGTTCCAGGAAAGACTGATATAAACTATGCAAGTCTTTTTTTTTTTTTCTCTTACTACGAACTGTGTTTCAACAAAGCTTAATCAGTTTGGCATATACACCTAAACCAATTCCATTGGTAAATGCAACATACTGACCCTAATGTCCTTTGAAGAACCAACAAGCTTGGGATCTACTGTATATGGTTACTACCAAGTACAAATGTAGTTGATCATTACAAAACGAGTCTCACAAGATGTTGTACAACAGAATACTTAACACCACAGTTTTTTCAGTGGAGATTAAAGTTTCCATTTTGAAATTCCTTTTAACATTCATATAGTTAAGAAAATACCTCAGTAAAGATTAAACCACAAAAACTATTCATATTTTAGATTTTTCCAATTGAATAATTGATTTTGTGATCAAAATAGTCTGGAAATTATGGATACTTCATTCACATTCAAAATTTTAATCAAATAAAGGTTTAAAGGTAAAAAAACAAAATTACTAGTTCAAAATATTTCACGTGAAGAGGAGATAACGCTAGGTTACACAGTAACTCACCACTCTGACATATTCTTTACAAACATCTAACAAAGGCAGCTTGCCTTCCTTTCTGAAGATGGTGGGGTTCCACTCTGCCTGACGTGCTATCATTGCTGACGTACAACCTGTTTCCTGTAGAAATGTAGCTATGGCATCATAAGTACGCATCTCCTTAGAGCCACCACTGAGGTAATAAAACGTTAAAAGCTATATGTAAAATATTGAAGTATAAACCTGAATAGTGAAACCTGACTACCTGTATATAAGGTCCACCTGTTTATAAAGGTCACCTGCTTCGGTCGTGATATATAAAGGCTACCTGTCTATAAAGATCCCTAATATTTAATGTTACAAAATTGTTTTTACTAGTTATACAGAGGAAATCCCACCGGTAGCATCTTTGAAGTTTTTCCAACTGTTTATTTTGCAATTCAATAAAGCAGATATTTAGCATTTCCAACACAAAATAGTATCAGGAAGTAGATTTGTCAAGTAGATTTGTTTGTGATAATATAATAATGTATATATAAATTCAACTGAAGTACATTATATATCTGTAAAAGAAAGTTAACCATAGAATAACAAGGATGTCATCATGAGTACAGATACATGTAGGTAATTGCGACAGATGTAAAGTTGTGATTGGCTCTCCTTCCTTATTAGCACAAAAGGCCATTTGTCTACAACAGTTCCCTCAAGCAACCTGCATAGACAGGTTTCAGGTTTCATTGAATAATCGAACTGAGATCATCCTCATCATCATCACCATCATCGTCATCATCATCGTCATCGTCATCATCATCATCATCATCATCATCATCATCATCATCATCATCATCATTTCTGTATTGTTTTAATCCATCAACGGCCAATTTACACAATATAAGATAAGAACAATCAACCCATATATTATACCATGAGAAATACTGAACAATATCATTTTAAGTGCTTTGTTGACATACTATAAACTTACATAGGCTAGCACTGGAATGATGACCTACTTGGCTATGATTGAAATGAATACCTACCTGGCTATGACTAAAATAAATATCTACCTGGCTATGACTGGAATGATGATCTACTTGGCTATAACAGAAATGTTGACCTACTTGGCTATGACTGAAATAAATATCTACCTGGCTATGACTTGAATGAAGACCTACTTGGCTATAACAGAAATGTTGACCTACTTGGCTATGACTGGAATGATGACCTACTTGGCTATAACAGAAATATTGACCTACTTGGCTATAACAGAAATGTTGACCTACTTGGCTATGACTGAAATAAATATCTACCTGACTATGACTTGAATGAAGACCTACTTGGCTTTAACAGAAATGTTGACCTACCCGGCTATGACTGGAATGATGACCTACTTGGCTATAACAGAAATATTGACCTACTTGGATATTACAGAAATGTTGACCTACTTGGCTATGACTGGAATGTTGACATTCTCTGCAATGATTTTAATGATGTGGTTCCGGTTTGGATGGCGAGGTCGTTCTTCCTTCAGTCGTCCATGTACAGCAATTGCTGCCACACCTGTGCTCTCTATCATCTTCACAAGTGCTAGAGTATCCTCTAACTATTAACAGATAAAAACCTTCCCAGTATCTACAAATAAAGTCTTCACAGTCGAACAATAAAAAAAGTCATACCACACTATACAGGTACCAGGCCATACCAGATAATATAGTAACCTGGCCATACCAGACAATATAGGAACTAGGCCATACCAGACAATGTAGGTACCAGGCCATACCAGACAATATAGGTACCAGGCCATACCAGACAATATAGGAACTAGGCCATACCAGACAATGTAGGTACCAGGCCATACCAGACAATGTAGGTACCAGGTCATACCACACAATATAGGAACTAGGCCATACCAGACAATGTAGGTACCAGGACATACCAGACAATGTAGGTACCAGGCCATACCAAACAATATAGGAACCAGGCCATACCAGACAATGTAGGTACCAGGCCATACCACACAATGTAGGTACCAAGCCATACCACACAATATAGGTACCAGGCCATACCACACAATGTAGGTACTAGGCCATACCAGACAATGTAGGTACCAGGCCATACCAGATGATAAAGGTTCCAGGCCATACCAGACAATGTAGGTACCAGGCCATACCAAACAATATAGGAACTAGGCCATACCAGACAATGTAGGTACCAGGCCATACCAGATGATAAAGGTTCCAGGCCATACCAGACAATGTAGGTACCAGGCCATACCAGACAATTTAGGTACCAGGCCATACCAGATAATATAGGTACCAGGCCATACCAGACAATGTAGGTACCAGGCCATACCAGACAATGTAGGTACCAGGCCATACCACACAATGTAGGTACCAGGCCATACCACACAATGTAGGTACCAGGCCATACCACACAATATAGGTACCAGGCCATACCAGACAATGTAGGTACCAGGACATACCACACAATATAGGTACCAGGCCATACCAGATGATAAAGGTACCAGGCCTTACCAGATGATAAAGGTATAAGGCCTCTCCAGACAATGTAGGTATAGGTATGCACTATACCATGATAAGACTGACAGACATGTAGGCGTGAATCTTATAGAGTGTGCAGAAAAGAAAAATGTCACAATTGTTGCTTCAGGGGGAAAAGGCAGTAGATCAGTTGTTGTATCTAATTCTAAATTTGTAGACATATTGAAAGATACATTTTTATTATCTTGAGGTTTTTGTACAATCTGTGAGATTGCAGGAGGTAGACAGTGCTGGTTAACATTTAGTCCCCATAGTTTACTGTAACCTGCATGACATGTTTCAATACAATTCAGAATATCCGCATGCAATCAATATTGTAAATTATTCAATTTATTGAATTTTCTGGTTAGTGCATCTACAAATCTGGTTTCTGACATTCATTTCAACAATATTGGATCTCCCTCAAGATTTCAACAATTTAAGCCCTTGGCATCACTGAGAAGTCAAGAAGGCAAAATCCATTTATAACGCAGTGTAATTCATTCAATTGCTCTATTGTTATCTTATTCTAAAACATCTCAGAAATTTGTTCCAAACATTTCCCCGCCGGTCATGAGATTCACATGCTACTTGCAATGAGCTTATCACAGGACCACAGTAATCACAATTCACACTTTGAGTACAGTCATTGCCTTACTTTTGGTAGCAGTCTGATTTTACAGGTAACAGGTATAGACAGGCCTTCAACAAGAGTTGTCAGGATCTGAAAATTCAGAGAAAAGTCAACATGCATTCAATCTTTTAAACCAAGCTAGGAGATGTTTACTTGTATAGACATGAATGCCTCTGCTCATATGAAATCAGAATCTGATCAGGTGTAGGACTTAACATTGACACTATGAGGCAAATATGGACTAATGAACCAAATAAGAAATGACAATGATTCAGAACACAAGACAACAGGACGAACAGACATGTGTAACACAATAACAGCCCAACCCAACACCTCCCAAAAACACAAGAGTATCAGTGAAACTAATGAACAACTCTATAGGACACAAAAATTTAACAAAGGGCAACAACTCTGTAGTTCAGGGGTTTCAGACCATGAATTAGGTACATTCCACATCATCTTAGTATGACCAATGTATACACAAAGTTTCATTGTCCTAGTCTAAAGGAAAGCAAAGTCGTGTGGAGGACACAGAAGTTTTAACAAAGGGCAACAACTGTGTAATCAAGGAGTTGCGGGCCCAAAATCTGATACATTGTACATCGTATGACCAATGTATGCTCCTGACATGAATTTTTAACAAAGAGCCATAACTCCATAATTAAGGGGTTGTGGGCCCTATATTTGGTACACTACACATTATTTTAGTACGACCAGTGTATACAAAAAAAAGTTTCAAGATCCTTGTTTAACTTTGGGCAAAGTTATGCTTTAAACACAAAAGGATGGACAGACAGACTGACAAAGTGGCAATTATATGCTCCCCCGAAAATATTTCAAGGAGCAAAAAAAATCAATAAATTCAAAAGAGTATAATAGATCAGAAACAGTTGAACACACAGATAGGATGAGAGAGATTTCCACCTATAATGATATCAGAGGAAACAATTAAAATTGTATTCTATAATACCATCCTTTTCTTATGATGGGGGTGGGGTATAATTCTGTATGGAAACAAGTATAAATTATATATAAAATTGATCATGAATTTGTCGTACTTACTTCCTTGACTTTATCAGGTTGTGTCAGTAAAGCAGCACCCATACCTCCCTAGAAAACATAACATGATTACCTTATCAGCAGCTATTTGATGTATAGATGTATAGACACATTTAGGATCTTTTCTGCAGTAAATAAGTTTTCAGTTTGCATATCATGAATAATTTCATGCTTAAAGTCTCCATATCTCATGTAAAAAGTACCCTGCAATCACTGGAATTATTTCTGTCAACTTACAGTATACTGTAAAGTATGCTGATATTGAGGGGTTTTAATTTGCAGTATTTTTAAGGACTGAATAAAAATCATTAAAATAAATACCTTGGAAATGACATAAACAGTGACAGTTTTAGTCTGTTTCGTGATTTTCCATGGAAAACATATACTTTTTGAAAATTTTACTAAAACTGAAAATTTGCTCTACTGAAAAACTAGAGCCTTAAAGTATTCAAGATGAGATTCTTCAGTTTGGCATACTTATATAGTTTTCTGTGATTTAAAACTGTATCTAACAGCTTTAAAAAACATCTGTTTCCGTCAATTTATTAAGCAAAGAGCACAAATGACTGAGCCTTGATGTAAGTTCACCATTCAACAAATGAACAAAAGTGTAGAGTTAGCTGTCAAATTGTCACAATGCATTTTCATTTAATTACACTCTTACACTAAAAACCGATAAAGACAATATATGATATACATAAAATAATATGATAGTTTATTAAAGCATGTTAATTTGTAAAAGTTTTTTAAACAAAACAAAAAAATCTCCCTTCTACTGACTGTATATAAGTACCAGGTATATATGTTTGATGAATTTCATAGTCTCCTGTCTTTAAAAATCCTTCATAAAAATTTCATATTTAAAATACCAAGAAAACACTTTTTTTCAAAGCATTGATGAATTTTTTTACCTCTTCTATATCAAAAAATAATGTTATTACTACTTACCCAGTGTCTCTACAGATATGTCTGACTGAAATCTTAATCTTTCTTACCTTGATGGAAAATTCCTTTGGACAGCCCATGTTGATATCAATAGCTGAAACATCATTTTCCCTGAAAGCGAGAGGAAAAAAAGAGAACATTTTACTTTGGTGGTGAAATTTCCTTTGTTGCGACAACAATAACATACAAATAACATATCACATATCCAACAACACACTGATAATTGATATATGAACATCATTATTCAGCTTATCCCTCTTGATCACCATGTCATAATACCCAATTTGTCATAAAATTGGATTAATCTATAAATTGTATGCTACCATTACAAATGTTCATCATGAAAAGTGTGTTGTACTTAACCCTGTTTGTATTGGGTCATATTTTTATGGACACAATCAATGCTTTCTGAGGGATCCAGACCTAAAATGTTTATGCCAACAGCTACATACTATTTAATATTGTTACATGATGGACATTATGACTGAATACTAACACTTTTTTAGCTGCCTTTAATGCTCTCTGTGCATTAGATGTTCCCTGTAATAAAAGAATGGAAAACATTAGGCATATCACCAGTAAATAAAACAAAAACTTAACAGTTGAATTAAGATAATGCAAATAATGCATAAATCAATTTTCATTTCTTATTTTTATTGAGTAAGAACAACTGAAAATACATGAAGAAACTGACAAAATATCCTTAAATATACTTAAGTAATACACTTACCAACTGAAAAACAACCTTTCCTTTTTCTTCTTGACAAGTTCTGAACACGACTGTTTCATCAGTGGCGATATAATCTACTGTACCAAGTATACCTGCAGTGGAAAGTGTTGTACTTTATTTATCGGGCAATAACCTATCACTAGTTAGTAATGAAGCCTATTTGTATATTGCTGTGCAGTAAGTATATCAACCATTGCTGTTCCATTGTCCTGTAATAACATAACATACCTTAATATTTGGTCCGATTAAAAACACCATCATCCTGGGCATATAGGAGGATAATACAGTATCGCTATAGAAAATGTCTAAATTTAAAACAGAAGTGTCTGATTCACATCATTAATTTTAAAATTGTTATTGAATAAATAAATATGTATTGAAGAAAATCTATTGCCTGAAGTATGTGCCATATATTCAACATCATTTTTTGTTTTTGTTTTCTTTGAGTGTAGACAAAAATCAAGGATAATGTCATATGTGCTACTTGCTACAACTTAGTAAGTGAATATTGTGTGTGTGATATCAGTATGATGTCTGATAAACCAAAGCAAATAATTGCATTGAAATGTACTGTTAGCCATGTATCATGTGATTTGGCATCATCTGTTAGGTCTTTGCATGCTTTTGTATGCATGTGTTACTTATCATATAAAAGAGCCTCCGTTGGATGTCAACTGCAGCACCAGAAAATTTTCGGAAAGACGGATATGATGATAACTATGTGCTCCAACGAAAATTTTCGAGATCAAAAAAATGCTTACTGGTATGTTGTTTCCCTTTGTTTTAATGATGGGCAAATGATTATGATTGATTACATATATACAGTATGCTGCTACATGGAAAGTATCAGGAGAAAAATGACTTACTATTTTCATATCTCGTGGTAGCAAGAATCTTAAAGTCAATCACCTCCTGGAAAATGGAATTTCACAAATATTATTAAACAGAAAGTAAGACCTCTCCACAAATTTTAATAAGTTGTAAAACTATAAAGCCAATACATTTAAGTGTTCATATTATTACCTCACAATACACAATATCTGCTCCATAACGCAGAGCTAACAGTCTCGTGGGAAGGGTTGAGATGCGGACCATGGGAGCCAAAATTAACTTTTTGGAATATTCCAAGACAGAACCAGCCATTTCCAAAATGTGAATTTCTAAATCTTATCAATGTCTTAATTATGTCACGTGATATATAGCACTCTTCAGCTTGACATTGCTGTCAGTTTAAATCAAAACTTTGGATAAATAAAGGTATGCAAGTCTTTTCCATAGCTCCGCGTAGTTGTGTGTCTTTGCAATGTGTGGTTTAATCATCCATGGGCGCAGCCATTTTCATTTTCCATTGCCAATGTTACATGTACGCTTTAAATTCACGGTATGAATATCCTTCCTGCCAAACATAGCGACGACTCGTTTTTCAGTGCACATGCGCAGATACAGATTTCAGTGGCGGCTACTTTGCATGCTTTCGGTTTTGAGGTAAGTAAACCGATAAAACTAGGTCCCTAATTGACATCCTAACTAATGTTAATTGGTAGTTATGGTTGATTATCACAAAGCCGTCGATCTTTATAGCTTTGGAGTTGCTTATTAATACATAACACCACGGACACACTACGACTGTTTTCAATGACTGCTGCTTTCGGTTCAAACTAAAGAGAATGGCCTTGTGCATGAGACCATTTTGGTATTAGAGCGGAATTTCAGATTCAGTGAACAGCATCGTGGCGAATGGCTACCCCTTGCCTACTTTAAATAACGTTCAAAACAATTTCATGTAGACATTGGGCTTGCAGAGAAATAGTTGTCAAAACTTAAAAGGCATACTTATAATATAACAGTTTTATTTGCTATAAAAAGGCCGGAAAAAAATATTACAAAAAAAGAAGGGACTTATTAATTTGATGGGCATTTCTTTTCAATTCCTTGACGTTAACTGATGGCACTGCAGTTACACTATGTCACATCATATCACTTATAGAATGTTGGAGCATGTCAGAAGCCAGAGTTCTTTAATATCTGTTTGTGATTTCATTTGACAACCCGGACTGGAAAAAGCAATCTGCCCCTGTTTTACCCTTCTGTGTCTTCTCAGCACCATCCTACCCTATCCCCCATACAGAGTACCTTTTGTTTGCTTTATTGACATATATATGTTACCCATATATGTCACAATTAGGGTTGTGGCAAGCCATCCTGATGCAAGCACTGGGGCACTAGTTTAGTCATGTAAGCAAACAAGGTGTGAACCACATGTTATCAGCTTAACCCTTTAATTTAGGGTAAGAGGACCTGTGTGACACATAGGGTACCCTAGTCTATCATCATCCTCTGGCAATGTAATGGATATACTTAATTAATGATTAGCCTGTGATGATAATCAGGGTCCATCGATTTATAAGCAAACACTGGTTAAAGTTAATTTACTTGCTTTTGCTGTTTCCATTTATTTATTATTCTTTGAATTGCAATTTTTTTCTTTGATTTCAATAAAGCTTTGATATGATAATAATACTTCACGTATGAATGAAAGTCCGATTTACCTAAGCATAGTGAACACAACAGAAAGAATGGTAAAACTGAAAAATTGTTTAATAATTATTGCAAGAGAATAATATGCTTGAAATTATGATTTGAAGGAAAGGCGTTTTAACAGAGATCATGTCATGTAGCGGGTGTATTTTGTATCATATAAGACAAAACCGCTGGGTTCTTTTCCAAAATTTAATCACTGATCGATGTAAAATAGACACTCTGAAATATACAATATAGCTTAATCAAACACTCTCAAATTCACAAATATCTTGTTACATACTCATTACTCAACAATTCATACTTCTTTCATAGACTTGTTACATTTCACATAGTCAAACTATGTCATTACTTTTACACTTGAATAAAAAATAAGATTCAATAAAATACTTCTAATAATTAAAACCTGACCATTCTAATTAGAGTAAAATAACACTTACAACACGTATAGTGCGCTAATGTACAATGTCACAGTCGCACCACTCCACAATATTACCACATCGTTGTTACAAGTTACGGCGCAACTACAACCAATGAATAACCTGATATTACAATTTATGTAATATCTTAAGAAACACATAACGCTTATAAATCCATCAATTACATGATTTATGGATAATACAATACATACATGTTCACACCTAATACTATTCTGAACGTTCAGTTATATATAAAAATATTACTGCTGCAATTACATTCTTCATAAATACAAACACTCGACGGGACGAATATAAAAGAAATACCAAATAGAAACAACTAGAAAGAAATAAAGCTAGAGGAAACTTAACGGAAAGATGAAATCTAAAGAGCCAAAACATTTGAACGACCGTCACAGAAGACGGCGGAGATTCAAATGTACCCGATAAAAGAAAGAGACAAAAGACACATACCCAGGAGAAACTTTGGACCAATGAAACAACACGTCCAAGTCCGTCACATGTCACATGTCCAGTTGGACAGTAAACAGTACTCACGTACACAAGTACATACATACACACTACACAAAGAGACGCGCTCGCCAATACGTATAAACATGCGCAGGTAAAACGTGACACTAACGACGTGTCCACGAAAACATAATAATACATGTATATAACCAGTACATTATATATATATATATATACTACAATACAAAATATAGCTACTAACTACAGCAAACATTGCCAATATGAAATATCACATAAATATGACATAACATGAATGTTACAAGTTATACAATATATGACAGACAAAATATGACCCTATTACAGATGCTATAGGAGCAATGCTGAGGCATATATATGTGCCCTTATCATATAATTAAGAGTGCCCCATTGACAACCCTGCATGTGGTAAGGGCCCCTTTTTTCTTTGGCTACCATGCTCTCATAAGGACCTGGGAGAAAGGCTAATACAAAATGATTGGTTTACAGTTGTAGCCAACCAAAATGATGGTTGAAGATGGCAATGACTTTGGAGATCTGCAGCAGCAGGCTGAGCAACTTACAGCAGAGATGGAAAGTGGAACAGATCTGCCTCGAGTATCCCGTAACCTTACTCAGATTCTAGAGGCAGGACAACGACTCCTGTCCAAAGTTGCACCGATAAGCCAGGACTCTACTGATGTCAAGGCGTAGGTTTACTCTTACACAGGCCACCATAAGTTGGCCTTAGCTGGCATTGACTTCAGTGTTATTGTCAAAGCTGTATTGTATTTGTAATGGCAATCACAGAATTTCACACCATGAAGTGACTTGGTATCAAGTAACTATTATTGTATATGCTGATAAATGAAAATAGGTGTGGCAGATGTAGGCAATGTCTTATTAAGCAAATAGGTGCTTGTGATTACTGAATTAACACTTTGATGCCACATGTAATGTGATCTTATTCTGCCTTCAAAATATACATCTTCATTGGATTAACATAACGGGGGCAAAGAAACTCCTGTGGTCATCTGTATTCCAAGAGAAAGTGGATATGAATGACTACACACATTATTGTATCAATTTTAAATTAAAATTAACTAACTGAAATGATTGAAAATCGTTGCCAAAATTGTAAGTCTGAATGTGGTCTTAATAAAATGTGTGAAAAATATGCTTTTGATAGCTCCATCTTGCTGGGAACAAAAGGCTATGATGTACCAAGGATAGCCCAGAAGTTGGAAGGTCTCAGTGCAGCAAAGTCTTTTGAGCCTTTAGAACCCATCAGAGATACAGATATAGAGGTACATATATTCTGACAAATTTTGATAGAAAGTTCCTTATTTCCTGTTTGACACAGAAATTTGATTCCAATCTCTTTGAGTATGAGTTTTTTCCTGTCAATTTTATAATGAAAATTTACATATAGAAAAAAGAATTGGTGTTATGTTTTCTTGGACATAATAATACATAACCTCGCAGAAGTAAGATGAACTTTTTATTGATACAACAGATATACACATATTGTTTAATATGGATTGAGCCTGGCTGTATCATATGGTTTACAGCATATGGATAAATGAAAGAAAGAAAAAATCATGGGAATAAAACCGCTTTCAAAATTAATGTTTATTTTTTTCAGAGCTTTTTAAGAAATGAAAGAGAAAATGCTCTCCTGGCAGTTATTGAACAGACTCGGAAAAATGTGAGCAATTGAAATTTGAATTGTTTGAAGAAGATTTGATGTATCTTGTGTCATAGTTTATAAACATTTGATATGTTCAATTTTTCGAACGTGGATAGATCTTGATGTAACAGGGCAAATTGATGATTAAAAGGAATTTACTCCCAAAAAGACCCAGGAATGAGTCATTTTAGTTTGTATCAGGTTAGATAAATTAACACTAGTAAACTTATGTATTTTGTAGCAATCTAATTTTCACATTTTTTATGTTGAATGTTTTGCGCTAAAATATGATTGCAGTTGTATGTTGATTGTATAACTACTTTTGTGGATATACTTATTCATCATTGGGCTAATTTACCACAAAAAAAAATACTTTGCTGGTAAATATTGAATGTGCCAAGTTAAGTATGTTTTCAGTACTAAATGTATTAAAAAATGTAACTATTTGATAAAAAGCATTTACATTCCAAAGTTTTGTTTTCGGTGATGGAAGTACTAAGGACTAGCAATTATAATAATAACTTCATTTTATTAAACATGATTCTATGGCCTCCATTGCAGTGCTATGTAAATTCCCCCCACCTCACCCCCACCCAATGTAACAATGGCTGTTAACTATCCCAGATATTCATTCCAGACATTTGAGGAGACTGAGAAAAGACACTGGGAGTGTATGGAGAGTGAATGGGAACGTGAGAAGCAGAAGATTCTCAACTCATTAAGGGGCCTTGGGCAGGATACACTCGACTTCCAGCCAGAGTCAGAGGTAAGGCATCGGATATCAGTATGAAATAATATGTATACCAATTAGTTACTTTATAGGCTAAACAAAGGCATATTGTATTGTTTTGATTTTATTTTGAAGAGTTTCCTGGCAGATCCAGTCAATATGCAGGGCCGTAGTAGCCTGGACAACATCGAAGCAGCATACGCTAGACAGGTACTGTGTTGGTTAGGGAATGAGAGAGAAGATCTTCCAAAAAAGGGTTTTGATTGAAAAAAGGCACATTCCTGTTTTTAGGATGTATGAATGATGTATGATCAAAATTTCTGAAAAAAAAAATTTTTATTCTGAGCTTTTTTTTTTTTTGTTTTTTTGTTTTTTTTTAAGGTAAAATTTTAGAAAGGTAATTTGAAAAAAAGTGCTGCTGTATTTCAGATGTTGCTACTGGTTATAGGAGATGTTAATGAAGAAGTCTTTTTCTCAAAAATTATTCTTCAATTTTTCTTTAATAACAAATTTTTGTGTTATTTTCCGGGTGATTTTTTCAAACAAATTTCATTCATATTTGAATGTAATAGGATACTGAGAAATAGTACAAAATGTGAAATTGCTAAATTTCTGTCTGTATTTACAAGCTCAAATCTGCATACAGTTTATACCCTCTTGCGAGTCAAATCTGACTTTCATGAACCCGTAATTTTAGCAAAATATTTCTACTGTCCATTTTTAAACATTCTGAAAAAGATCATCCTATTTCATCTGGTTAAAAAAAAGTTTCAGAATTAAACTGTAATATTTCCATGATTTAACATTAATAGAGAAAGATTTTGAAAGTAATGTTATCTTGCCTAAACATTTCCCTGATCCAGTGAATGAACAAAAGTAATTTGATACATTTTGGATTTTTTAGATTATTGAGACAACCATATGATCACTTTCTGATCATTGTTGATGTTACACTAGACAAAATTATCTCCGAAAAATAAAAATGACGAGTTGAAAAATCAAGTATTGTTGTGTAGAAAATGATGAGAAGATAAATCCTGACTATGGTGAACCTTTCTGTTGTACAGGTATTCCAGTACAACGAACAAATCGTACAAGGTAGTGTGAGACCTTTTCTTGTCGACATGTTTCTGGATGTGGCGAAAAAATTGGACGACAAGGTATGAAGTAGATGTGCAAAAATTTCATTTTAACAATTTTCTGTAGAATTATTCCTTGTGTAGAATATACCTAATACAATAAAATGAGAGTATTGTGTTAGCTTTCCTGAGATAGATTCTTTTAGAATAAAAATTCCATTTAAAAAAAAAAAGTAATCTAAGTTAAAGGTAAGAAAGATACTGATTAGAATATGAATGACTCATCGGCTGAAAGGCAAAGTCTATTCAATAAATACATCAATACAAATTCACTCAGAATTTACTTTTTTTGCCTCAGATTTGGTAGAATTGTTTAAAGTATTGGTTGAAGAATGATGCTTCATTATTGTTATCACAAATGAATAGTATGACAATTGTTTTAGATATGACTAAATATTTTTTATTATTATTTTTTCCACATTAATATAAACTAAAACCTGCTAATTCATTTTCGTAAGAATTTAATCATAAGAGGTCTGTATGTGGTTTATATTTTGGTATTGCCTTCTTCATGTCTTTCCAATTTCCCACAGTACATTACCGATATATACATGATTAAGGAGACACAGTATTAATTAATTACAACATTTTCTTGTGTTTTTACAAAAGCAAAAATCATGTTATCCATAGTTAAGATACTAAGTGCCAATGTTATTCTTCTGAAAATTCTAGGTAATAGAAGTATTGTAGATTAAAATTACAAAAAAAAAAAGATAATATTACTGCAGTGGAGAATGCATTCATTTTCTATCAATATTACACAAACTTTCAGCTGATTATGTGATTGATTAAGAACAATAGAAAGTCTGTCTGATTTAAATGATAATGGATTATGGATTTTAACCGATATCCCATCACTGGAATAAAACTTCCATAAATCTAATGAAAATGTAGTAATTGTTTCATATTATTGATTGTTTTTAGGGATGTGTCAAATGTTTTTACTGTTATTTGATTGGATAATAAAAATCAAACCCAGGGAAACTCCTTGATGATAAGTTTAGATCGAGGGGAGCAACAGGTTGTCAGATTAATCTCGCATGCAGGTGACTGCCGTTTTGGAGTTGATATTGCAAAACTTTGTAAGTGTTTCTTGGCCCACTAGTGAATGACAAGGAATGAAATTATTATCAAAGATACAGAGCCGCAATGTGAACAAACTATCAGAATGCTGGATATAAACTTAGGAAAGCTCATCCTCCAAAATAGAATTTTCCAACCATATGTATATGTATATCAGTTTCAAGCATCAACTATATCTCCAAAAGTTTATATTTTTGTTTCAGCATGTAGTTGATTTATGGGAAATGGTGAAATGCATGGTGGAGGTTCCTCTGGTGTTGACCAGTAGTATTGGTCAAACTCGTTCTGACTACAGGACACACATGGCTTTTGTGGACAAGGCTCGCGACTACCTAGAGACGCAGTAAGTATGACTCATGCTGACTATACAGAACATACATGGTATTTGTCGACATTGCAAGGAAATAAAAAGGACTTGATATTACAAGAGATGTTCACAAGTTTTGCTATATTTCTGATTTCAGATACAAAAAGTACATTACCACTACTATATATGGTAACCTCCAGCAGGCCCAGCTAGGGGGCATCCCTGGTACTTACAACTTGGTCCGCAGTTTCCTCAATGTCAAACCTCCTACATTTAGAGGCCTTGAGGTGAGTGTCAGTGCTGATAATTAAAGATATGGCACAAGCTATCTGGAGGGACCTCTTCTGTCATTAAATTGTGGTATTAACAATATTTCTTTTTTCCGATTTAAATGAAATGTTAAAAAAAATGAATGTGAGCATATCTCAAATTTTCGTGTATGTGCTTAGAGTAGATTTTTAGCTTGCCTAGTCCGAAGGCCCAGGTAAGCTATAGGGATACTGTGGCTTCCATCGTCCATCCATTTATCATCAGTCATCTGTCAGCTTTTCCTATAAATTGCAACTAGTCATGAACAACTGAGTGAATTTTAATCAAATTTGGTCTGAATCATTGCGAGGAGAAGTGAAATTAGTTTTGTGTAAACATTGGGTCTTAGCATCCTGGAGCCAAATGGGTGGAGCCTGATAGGGAACATTTGTTTAATTTTCATTGAAAATAATTCAAACTCTGTTTTCCATTTTGACATTGGCATTACAAGTACAATGTAGTTAAAAGTTATTATACTTTGTAAACAAACATGTACAATGTACTTAAAAGTTATCATACTTTGTAAACATGTACTTGAAAGTTATCATACTTTGTAAACAAACATGTACAATGTACTTAAAAGTTATCATACTTTGTAAACAAACATGTACAATGTACTTAAAAGTTATCATACTTTGTAAACAAACATGTACAATGTACTTAAAAGTTATCATACTTTGTAAACAAACATGTACAATGTACTTAAAAGTTATCATACTTTGTAAACAAACATGTACAATGTACTTAAAAGTTATCATACTTTGTAAACAAACATGTACAATGTAGTTAAAAGTTATCATACTTTGTAAACAAACATGTACAATGTAGTTAAAAGTTATCATACTTTGTAAACAAACATGTACAATGTACTTAAAAGTTATCATACTTTGTAAACAAACATGTACAATGTAGTTAAAAGTTATCATACTTTGTAAACAAACATGTACAATGTAGTTAAAAGTTATTATACTTTGTAAACAAACATGTACAATGTACTTAAAAGTTATCATACTTTGTAAACAAACATGTACAATGTAGTTAAAAGTTATTGTTCTTTGTAAACAATGTAACTGCTTTACTAAGCTTACTGTGAAGAATATTACGTCTCTTGTATGAAAAAAAATAGTTTTTTGGGGAAAAAGCAAAATAAGAGGAAATTTGTTTTTGGAAAAAAAAATGCATCAAGAAACGTGCATTCTTGTCAATAAAAACTTGAGATTGAATGAAACTCCCAGTTGATTCAGGTTTACTTGTTTATTTCATATATTGTTGGCTGTTGCAGGATGAGACAGTTGATGGACACCCTACTTGGGCAATGGTATACTATTGTTTGCGATGTGGAGATCTTCAAGCAGCACAGCAAGTCGTTGACAAGGCAGCGTATGTACCATGTTACTTGATTATTGACAGAAAAATCATTTATCTCTTTTAATAAACCTCTATATCAATATTTTGATATAAACTATCGTAAAATTAGCTGTTCTTGATAGCTGAAATTTTCATGATTTTTTAAAAAGCTTGAAACAAAATAAATGATTTTATGAAATGGACAAGGATTTTCTCATGATTTCATTTCATGGTGTCTTTTTTTTAGCAATTTCAATCCCTCCTTGAAAATAGCAAAAATTGAAATCCCTCAAAAGTTATGATCTTCATAGCATATGTTTTATGATAAACTCATTTCTCTAAGATTGATAAGATTAAAAAATGACATCATCTTATTACAGACACAATGTTGGTGATTTTACATCATTTCTACAAGAGTATATAGCCAGTGAGGACCACAGGTAAGTGGAGTCAAATTGCCAACAGGTGTCATGTATTGATAATCAATGATCTTATCCAGATCATTTTCTCCAATATGTTACTGAGTTTTATCATTTTATGGGGGAGGCATATAGTGTTACCCATGTGTGTCTGATCCATCCTGTCACACCATATTTTAAATCAATATTACATCTTGAAAACAATACAGGAGATTTGGTTTATACCAAGCGCATGATATCATATTAATAAGTTCTACATCTGATCTAATTCTGGTTTGAATATAGACATAGGTTTTCATCTTATGATAAAACAATTATTGACCTGATTTAAGGGTATCCAAGGTTTTATTTACCTGAGAAGGTGATACAGTTGAACTTCGTTAATTTGAACTTGGTAAACTTGAATACTCTACTTAACTCAAAGTACTTTGTCAGGCCAGGCAAAATTCTATCTTTATCCTAATGATAAAGACTTGGAAAACTTGTAAAAACTGTAATAATTTGAAGTAAATGTTTGGTCCTGTAAATGAAAATTTTACTAGAAAGTACCTCTTAACACAAAGTTCCAAATTTTAGCCATAAATAACACATTTGAAAAATTAAAAACACTTCTGATGAAGTGTTACAACAAATTGTCTCAGTGACATTATTATTGTAGGACACCCAATGTCCCGTTATCGCTTCAGTTTGTAAATAGAGAATCTGTCTTTATATTGTCTTCATAAAACCCATGTTCATATTATGAATCTGATTCATCGAATATAGATTAACAGTAAAACAGTACTTACAGAAAGCCATTTATTAACACTCAAAGCTCACGACAATTTGACATGGAAATGTGGGTCACAATGTTCTGTCACACTGAACTTACCTGTCTATCGTAAATCACAACCTTGGTCTGGTACTCTGGTAAATGTTTTCACGTTTCACCTTGATGGCTTTTATATTAATAGAGATAGCTAATGTGATATGTCAGTTACGATTGGATGATATTGAGGTGTCAAGTGTCTCAGTTTTAAGTGTCTTATTTTATAGTTTTTGCTTTTGTGCAACTTGTAGTGCTTATTTAATATCTTTAACTAAGTTATCACTCAAACTGTGATTCTCTGTCAGTTGTATATTTGCACACCTCTATTTTCGCTTGGAAACATCATCTGTTTACAGTGAGGTCTGAGCTAACTTTCGCATGTAAATGTTGTGTTATCATTTGTTTATTTTGTGTAAAATTAAACATGTATTACCTTGATAAAGCTACATGAACTTTTGAATAAATTGCTGACATCGTTTATCAACACACTCATTTTTCAGTAATTTGACATGCATATCAGTAAATCAATGACCCAAATGAAATCATTTTTGTTTGTTTCTGAAGGTTATATATTAGTAGGGGTATACAAAATCTTACAATTTGTTAACTCAAATACTCTTGATGACTCAAATATTTTTTCATGACTCCAGTGACTCTGAATTTGACTATTTCCTGAAGCCAGGGGCCACAAGAAATATATAAATTTTTTTGGTTAATAAATCCTTCTATTTGTCAGAAAACAGATCAATGATTGTTCATTATTCCGATTAATCAAGTGTAACCTTGGTTTTAAATATATGCATTGAATGAGGAGACAGCATTGTTTCTAGACAAATACTGGCAGCACTCAGTAGATGTCCCCTTATACTTGATGATTTCAAGTGTCTTCTACTTTCAGTCTTGTATGTGAACGTTGATTAAACAAGTACTTTTTCTCTGAAGATCCTTTTGTCTTGTATTACTAGCAATTTATTAAAATCCATATAATGTACTTTATTTTGCAGATTAAGTTCCAGTACAGAAACAAAGATACATCTACACTATAGAAGGATAGTAAAGAATGGAACTGATCCTTTCAAACGGTATACATCTCTATTTCACCAGATTTAGCAACTATTAAAGTAGATAACTTTGTCAGGCTACATGTTGCAGTCTCTTAATGGTTAAATGCTTTAGATTGTAAGAAATCATGATACTTTACGAATTTCTTTCAAATTTGCCACAGTTCCTATTCCTTATAAACCATCGGCATCTATTTGGTTAAAATGTAGTTCTTGTCAATTTATGGATCTATCAATTTATATATAGTTGTTTACAGATAATGTGGGGACATATCTGCTGTTTCTACTATAAACTGGAGACTGCTAACTTATGGTTTAGGATGAGTGATTGCTATAGATGTTATTTATCTGGAGAGTGACAGGTCTTTTTTACTTACAGGGCAGTATATTGTGTGATAGGCCGATGTGACTACGAGGAGAACCACTCTGACATTGCTGACAAGATAGACGACTACCTGTGGATAAAGTTATCCCAGATACAACTAGACCCTGACCCTGTGAGTCAAGACCAGTTCACGCTACAGAAACTACAGACCATGTTGTATGAGGATTTTGGTGAGTTTTTTCGTCACTGCCAATAGGATGTCTACATTTTGGTTTTCACTGTAAACAGGATTTTTATATATCACTGGAAACATGATATCTGTGTATCTATATGTCACTGTAAACAGGATTTCTATATATCACTGGAAACAGGATTTCTATATATCACTGGAAACAGGATATCTATGTATCACTGTAAACAAGATTTCTATATATCACTGTAAACAGGATATCTATATATCACTGGGAACAGGATTTCTATATATCACTGTAAACAGGATTTCTCTATGTCACTGGAAACAGGATATCTATATATCACTGTAAACAGGATTTCTATATATCTATATGTCACTGGAAACAGGATTTCTAGATATCTATATATCACTGGAAACAGGATATCTATATATAACTGTAAACAGGATTTCTATATATCTATGTCACTGGAAACAGGATATCTATGTATCACTGTAAACAGGATTTCTATATATCACTGTAAACAGGATATCTATATATAACTGTAAACAGGATTTCTATATATCTATATGTCACTGGAAACAGGATATCTATGTATCATTGTAAACAGGATTTCTATATATCACTGTATATCAAACAGGATATCTATATATCACTGTAAACAGGATATCTATGTATCACTGTAAACAGGATTTCTATATATCACTGTAAACAGGATATCTATATATCACTGGAAACAGGATATCTATGTATCACTGGAAACAGGATATCTATATATCACTGTAAACAGGATATCTATGTATCACTGTAAACAGGATTTCTATATATCACTGTAAACAGGATTTCTATATATCACTGGAAACAGGATATCTATGTATCACTGTAAACAGGATATCTATATGTCACTGGAAACAGGATTTCTATATGTCACTGGGAACAGGATTTCTAGATATCTATATGTCACTGGAAACAGGATATCTATATATCACTGGAAACAGGATTTCTATATATCTATATGTCTCTGGAAACAGGATATCTATATATCACTGGAAACAGGATTTCTATATATCTATATGTCACTGGAAACAGGATTTCTCTATGTCACTGGAAACAGGATATCTATATATCACTGTAAATAGGATTTCTATATATCTATATGTCACTGGAAACAGGATATCTATATATAACTGTAAACAGGATTTCTATATATCTATATGTCACTGGAAACAGGATATCTATGTATCACTGTAAACAGGATTTCTATATATCTATATGTCACTGGAAACAGGATTTCTATATATCTATATGTCACTGGAAACAGGATTTCTCTATGTCACTGGAAACAGGATATCTATATATCACTGTAAATAGGATTTCTATATATCTATATATCACTGGAAACAGGATATCTATATATAACTGTAAACAGGATTTCTATATATCTATATGTCACTGGAAACAGGATATCTATGTATCACTGTAAACAGGATTTCTATATATCACTGTAAACAGGATATCTATATATAACTGTAAACAGGATATCTATATATCACTGTAAACAGGATTTCTATATATCACTGTAAACAAGATATCTATGTATCACTGTAAACAGGATTTCTATATATCACTGTAAACAGGATATCTATATATCACTGGAAACAGGATATCTATGTATCACTGGAAACAGGATTTCTATATATCACTGTAAACAGGATTTCTATATATCACTGTAAACAGGATTTCTATATATCACTGTAAACAGGATTTCTATATATCACTGGAAACAGGATATCTATGTATCACTGTAAATAGGATATCTATATGTCACTGGAAACAGGATATCTATATATCACTGGAAACAGGATTTCTATATATCTATATGTCACTGGAAACAGGATATCTATATATCACTGGAAACAGGATTTCTATATATCTATATGTCACTGGAAACAGGATATCTATATATCACTGGAAACAGGATTTCTATATATCTATATGTCACTGGAAACAGGATTTCTATGTATCTATATCTATATATCACTGTAAACAGGATATCTATATATCACTGTAAACAGGATTTCTATATATCTATATGTCACTGGAAACAGGATTTCTATAGGTCACTGGAAACAGGATATCTTCTTGTTACTGGAAATATGATTTCTATATGTCACTGTGTCATTGGAAAAAAATTTTTTATGCCTCAGGAAACTTGTGTTGACTACTATATTTGGTACAAATGATCAGTACCTTCTATCAAAGATCACGTTTGAACACTTCATATTCAAATATTTAAGATCTTCTGTACAATGTTTTATCGTTAACCTCAATCAGAATTGATATACCTTTGGTATGTTTACACAATATCATTGTAAACATTGTACAAATTCATCATCAATTAGTAAAGTTTGAGGTAATTGTCAAAAGTTGTTTTGATTTGTAGTTTTCATTTGTTATCCAGGTGAGAGTTACTTCAATGGATACCAGCAGCCATACCTGTATTTTCAGGTGTTAATCCTCACAGCTCAATTTGAAGCAGCCATCGAGTTTATGTCCCGAATTGATAAGCTTCTTTGTCACTCGGTCCATGTGGCTCTAGTTTTGTACGAATTGAAGATGTTGATGCTGGCTTCTTCCAATCAGTCACAGCTCTGTAAGTATTCAACAATTTCAGTTTGTAAATGTGTTACTGGTTTGAATAACATGGCCTAGTGATTTAAAGAAGCCCCTTGACTTGATAGGCTGTGTATCTGGCATGCATCAAGAGAAAAAAAAAGTGAGGATGATTTTGAAGATTTCATAATTTGATATGCTATATTATGATATGCAAGTTTGCTGAAATGTTTGTGTGGAGGAGGAGGATGGAACTCATTCATAAATTTGTTTTACAGAAAGAAAAAAAAAATACAAAAAATAGTTCAACAGAATCTTCATTCAAACTCAACTTCGAAGGAAATAGGGTAAAATATAAACAAAAGAAAGACTTGCATGCAGACTCCTTAAACAGTACATGAATAAGACCAGATGTTTAGAAAGGAAAAGCATCTTCTACTTCATTAATAACACTCATGATGAAAGTCCTGGTCAATCAAAGTAATTTATTTCATATTTTCAAGTGAAAACCAGTATAATAGTCTTTGTTTTATCTTATTGCAGTAACCAAGGAAGCAGCAGATGAACAGCCAATGAGGCGACTGAATTTTGTACGCCTCATTACCATGTACACACGGAAATTTGAGGCCACTGACAGTCGAGAAGCACTACAGTATTTCTACTTCCTCAGGTCTGTAATGCTATCATATCTTACCCATACATTACAAGCCATTTTACTTTTGTTAAGCACATTGGGTTATTTTTAGGCTTTAACTGCTGTATTACTAAGGTATTTTTTTACTTTTACTTCTCCAGAAAAATACACATACCATTTAGTTTTATTTAAATCAACAAAAACAGCTTTAACAAAGAAATGCTGCTTTACCTGTAAATCAGACTCAAAGATAATGTATATTATAAACAGGGACACATTGTAATTAATTGATTAATTATACACAGGGTGTACCATGGTAATCAATTAATTATACACAATGATTGTCATTTTAATTAATGAATTATTTACAGGGATATCATTGTAATTATTAAATTATACACAGGGATACCATTGTAATTGTTAAATTATACACAGGGATACCATTGTAAATATTAAATTATACACAGGGATACCATTGCAATTATTAAATTATACACAGGGATGCCATTGTAAATATTAAATTATACAAAGGGATATCATTGTAATTATTAAATTATACACAGGGATGCCATTGTAATTATTAAATTATACACAGGGATACCATTGTAATTATTAAATTATACACAGGGATACCATTGTAATTATTAAATTATACACAGAAAAGATATCATATTTGATTAATTATTTACAGGGATACCATCGTAATTAATCAATTATACGGACTGATTATATTCGAATTAATCAATTATACTTAGGGATTATATAGTAATTAATCAATTATACAGAGGGATTATATAGTAATTAATCAATTATACATAGGGATTATATAGTAATTAATTAATTATACAGAGGGATTATATAGTAATTAATTAATTATACATAGGGATTATATAGTAATTAATTAATTATACAGAGGGATTATATAGTAATTAATTAATTATACATAGGGATTATATAGTAATTAATTAATTATACAGAGGGATTATATAGTAATTAATTAATTATACAGAGGGATTATATAGTAATTAATGAATTATACATAGGGATATCATTGTTATTAATAAGGTTTCTAATAACTGCTGATGGCTAAGTACAGTAAAATTTTATAACATGGCACATTTGATATTGTTTGACTTTTGTTTTGCACATTTTGAGATTTTAGGGGTAGCCAAATCAGAGATGGTCACAACATTTGTTGTTTTGTATTTTGCCCACAGGGACTTAAGAAGTGGACAAGGGGAGAACTTATTCATGTCATGTGTTAGTGAGCTTGTACTGGAAACACGGGAAGTGAGTTTTACATTACATAGTGTTAGTCTTGTTAATCATTAAAATTGAAGGTTAAAGTGATTTATAATTTTTTTGAAAAAATCAATTGCATGTAAGCATGAAAAACCTTAAAGAGCATTTTCCAGTTAGTTAAAATTATCTTTAGATAAAGTATAACAGGCTTATAAAGATATTCTATTTTCCAGAGAAAGGAATATTCAGTACAAAGGAAAAATTATGACTGCAGGACATCATATTAATCAGTGGTTTAACTTAAGTAACACTATAATTATAAAAAGCACCATTTTACATTGATCATTGTGTAGATAGTAGATGAATAAATTCTAATGTTATATCTGAGGAAATATAATATTAAGCATGATCTGAGCATAAATATTTCTTTAAACATGTAATGTGGTTCTTTTCAATTTCCAGTTCGAGATGTTGCTTGGGAAGATTGAACGTGATGGGACACGACGGGTAAGTAAAAAGTCCAAAACAGTGCATATAATTGTAAATCAGTCGCCTTGTGAAACTTTTAAAACTTGAATAAGAACAAGACAAGGCGACCATTGACTATAAACCTTTATGTAGTGTAAACAATATGCAATCAGGCTATGAAGATTTACATTAATTAGGATTGCAGTAATTTACATTGATAAGATGCTGACTTTGTCTGAAATATAGTGTAATGAATACTAGAAAAAAGAATTTTTGACTTTTGTGAGATGAGGGGGATGGATCGTTACACTTCTTTTTGAAGTGAAAGTGTTATTTTCATCAAGAAGATGATATTACAATTAAATTGCCCCATCAACTGAAATCGATGATTATTATTGCAAAATATAACTCACACTCATGATAATTTTATTTAGTGACCTGATATATTGTTATTCTCATTAGATATAATTGCACGAAAGGGACAAATGAACTTGCGGCTAATTCATCAATTTAATTTACAATGTCATCTGAAATAAGTAATTGTTGTATTAACAAATATTGTGTTGCTGATTGCAGCCAGGAGCCATAGATAAATTTCATGGTGACACGCAGAAGATCATAGAACTGGTGGCTAAAGATACTGAGAGTAAAGGCCTGTTCGAGGATGCTGTTAGGCTGTATGATCTAGCTAAGGTGAGAAAGACCTAAGGTCTGTTTGAGGATGCTGTTAGGCTGTATGATCTAGCTAAGGTGAGAAAGACCTAAGTTCTGTTTGAGGATGCTGTTAGGCTGTATGATCTAGCTAAGGTGAGAAAGACCTAAGGTCTGTTTGAGGATGCTGTTAGGCTGTATGATCTAGCTAAGGTGAGAAAGACCTAAGGTCTGTTTGAGGATGCTGTTAGGCTGTATGATCTAGCTAAGGTGAGAAAGACCTAAGGTCTGTTTGAGGATGCTGTTAGGCTGTATGATCTAGCTAAGGTGAGAAAGACCTAAGGTCTGTTTGAGGATGCTGTTAGGCTGTATGATATAGCTAAGGTGAGAAAGACCTAAGGTCTGTTTGAGGAGGTTGTTAGGTTGTATGATCTAGCTGAGGTGAGGGAGAATAAAGGTCTGTTTGAGGAGACTGTTAGGTTGTGTGATCTAGCTGAGGTAAGGGAAACCTAAGGTTCTGTTTGAGGATGCTGTTAGGCTGTATGATCTAGCTAATGTGAGAAAGACCTAAGGCCTGTTTGAGGATGCTGTTAGGCTGTATGATCTAGCTAAGGTGAGAAAGACCTAAGGTCTGTTTGAGGATGCTGTTAGGCTGTATGATCTAGCTAAGGTGAGAAAGACCTAAGGTCTGTTTGAGGATGCTGTTAGGCTGTATGATATAGCTAAGGTGAGAAAGACCTAAGGTCTGTTTGAGGAGGTTGTTAGGTTGTATGATCTAGCTGAGGTGAGGGAGAATAAAGGTCTGTTTGAGGAGACTGTTAGGTTGTGTGATCTAGCTGAGGTAAGGGAAACCTAAGGTTCTGTTTGAGGATGCTGTTAGGCTGTATGATCTAGCTAATGTGAGAAAGACCTAAGGCCTGTTTGAGGATGCTGTTAGGCTGTATGATCTAGCTAAGGTGAGAAAGACCTAAGGTCTGTTTGAGGATGCTGTTAGGCTGTATGATCTAGCTAAGGTGAGAAAGACCTAAGGTCTGTTTGAGGATGCTGTTAGGCTGTATGATATAGCTAAGGTGAGAAAGACCTAAGGTCTGTTTGAGGAGGTTGTTAGGTTGTATGATCTAGCTGAGGTGAGGGAGAATAAAGGTCTGTTTGAGGAGACTGTTAGGTGTGATCTAGCTGAGGTAAGGGAAACCTAAGGTTCTGTTTGAGGATGCTGTTAGGCTGTATGATCTAGCTAATGTGAGAAAGACCTAAGGCCTGTTTGAGGATGCTGTTAGGCTGTATGATCTAGCTAAGGTGAGAAAGACCTAAGGTCTGTTTGAGGATGCTGTTAGGCTGAATGATCTAGCTAAGGTGAGAAAGACCTAAGGTCTGTTTGAGGAGGTTGTTAGGTTGTATGATCTAGCTAAGGTGAGAAAGACCTAAGGTCTGTTTGAGGATGCTGTTAGGCTGTATGATCTAGCTAAGGTGAGAAAGACCTAAGGTCTGTTTGAGGAGACTGTTTGGCTGTATGATCTAGCTAAGGTGAGAAAGACCTAAGGTCTGTTTGAGGATGCTGTTAGGCTGTATGATCTAGCTAAGGTGAGAAAGACCTAAGGTCTGTTTGAGGAGGTTGTTAGGTTGTATGATCTAGCTAAGGTGAGAAAGACCTAAGGTCTGTTTGAGGATGCTGTTAAGTTGTATGATGAAGCTGAGGCGAGATAGAGTAGAGGTATATTTGATGATGTTGATAATCTAGCTGAGGTGAGGGAGACCTAAGTTCTGTTTGAGGAGGTTGTTAGGTGGTATGATCTAGCTAAGGTGTGGGAGACCTAAGTTCTGTTTGAGGAGGTTGTTAGGTGGTATGATCTAGCTAAGGTGTGGGAGACCTAAGTTCTGTTTGAGGAGGTTGTTAGGAGGTATGATCTAGCTGAGGTGTGGGAGACCTAAGAACTGTTTGAGGAGGTTGTTAGGAGGTATGATCTAGCTGAGGTGTGGGAGACCTAAGTTCTGTTTGAGGAGGTTGTTAGGAGGTATGATCTAGCTGAGGTGTGGGAGACCTAAGTTATGTTTGAGGAGGTTGTTAGGAGGTATGATCTAGCTGAGGTGTGGGAGACCTAAGAACTGTTTGAGGAGGTTGTTAGGTGGTATGATCTAGCTAAGGTGTGGGAGACCTAAGTTCTGTTTGAGGAGGTTGTTAGGTGGTATGATCTAGCTAAGGTGTGGGAGACCTAAGTTCTGTTTGAGGAGGTTGTTAGGAGGTATGATCTAGCTGAGGTGTGGGAGACCTAAGAACTGTTTGAGGAGGTTGTTAGGAGGTATGATCTAGCTGAGGTGTGGGAGACCTAAGTTCTGTTTGAGGAGGTTGTTAGGAGGTATGATCTAGCTGAGGTGTGGGAGACCTAAGTTCTGTTTGAGGAGGTTGTTAGGAGGTATGATCTAGCTGAGGTGTGGGAGACCTAAGAACTGTTTGAGGAGGTTGTTAGGTGGTATGATCTAGCTAAGGTGTGGGAGACCTAAGTTCTGTTTGAGGAGGTTGTTAGGTGGTATGATCTAGCTAAGGTGTGGGAGACCTAAGTTCTGTTTGAGGAGGTTGTTAGGAGGTATGATCTAGCTGAGGTGTGGGAGACCTAAGAACTGTTTGAGGAGGTTGTTAGGAGGTATGATCTAGCTGAGGTGTGGGAGACCAAAGTTCTGTTTGAGGAGGTTGTTAGGAGGTATGATCTAGCTGAGGTGTGGGAGACCTAAGAACTGTTTGAGGAGGTTGTTAGGAGGTATGATCTAGCTGAGGTGTGGGAGACCAAAGTTCTGTTTGAGGAGGTTGTTAGGAGGTATGATCTAGCTGAGGTGTGGGAGACCTAAGTTATGTTTGAGGAGGTTGTTAGGAGGTATGATCTAGCTGAGGTGTGGGAGACCTAAGTTCTGTTTGAGGAGGTTGTTAGGAGGTATGATCTAGCTGAGGTGTGGGAGACCTAAGTTATGTTTGAGGAGGTTGTTAGGAGGTATGATCTAGCTGAGGTGTGGGAGACCTAAGAACTGTTTGAGGAGGTTGTTAGGTGGTATGATCTAGCTAAGGTGTGGGAGACCTAAGTTCTGTTTGAGGAGGTTGTTAGGTGGTATGATCTAGCTAAGGTGTGGGAGACCTAAGTTCTGTTTGAGGAGGTTGTTAGGAGGTATGATCTAGCTGAGGTGTGGGAGACCTAAGAACTGTTTGAGGAGGTTGTTAGGAGGTATGATCTAGCTGAGGTGTGGGAGACCTAAGTTCTGTTTGAGGAGGTTGTTAGGAGGTATGATCTAGCTAGCTGAGGTTCTGTTTGAGGAGGTTGTTAGACTGAGGTGTGGGAGACTAAGTTATGTTTGAGGAGGTTGTTAGGAGGTATGATCTAGCTGAGGTGTGGGAGACCTAAGAACTGTTTGAGGAGGTTGTTAGGTGGTATGATCTAGCTAAGGTGTGGGAGAGGAGGTTGTTAGGAGGTATGATCTAGCTGAGGTGTGGGAGACCTAGGAGGTTGTTAGGAGGTGTTTGAGGTGTGGGAGGTTGTTTGAGGAGGTTGTTAGTATGATCTAGCTATGTGGGAGACCTAAGAACTGTTTGAGGAGGTTGTTAGGTGGTATGATCTAGCTAAGGTGTGGGAGACCTAAGAACTGTTTGAGGAGGTTGTTAGGTGGTATGATCTAGCTAAGGTGTGGGAGACCTAAGAACTGTTTGAGGAGGTTGTTAGGTGGTATGATCTAGCTAAGGTGTGGGAGACCTAAGTTCTGTTTGAGGAGGTTGTTAGGTGGTATGATCTAGCTAAGGTGTGGGAGACCTAAGTTCTGTTTGAGGAGGTTGTTAGGTGGTATGATCTAGCTAAGGTGTGGGAGACCTAAGTTCTGTTTGAGGAGGTTGTTTGGTGGTATGATCTAGCGAAGGTGTGGGAGACCTAAGTTCTGTTTGAGGAGGTTGTTAGGTGGTATGATCTAGCTGAGGTGTGGGAGACCTAAGTTATGTTTGAGGAGGTTGTTAGGTGGTATGATCTAGCTAAGGTGTGGGAGACCTAAGTTCTGTTTGAGGAGGTTGTTAGGTGGTATGATCTAGCTAAGGTGTGGGAGACCTAAGTTCTGTTTGAGGAGGTTTTAAAGCTGTATAATCTAACTAGGATAAGTAAGATGTAAAGTCTGTTGAAGTATGTTGTTATATGGTATCATCTTGAAAATTGTAATTGTAGTATAACATATGATAGATATGCTTTTGAATTTGATTACCAGAAACATGACAAGGTGCTGGAGATCTTGAACAAACTGATCAGTCAGGTAGTGTCCCAGTCAAACTCACCTCAGTCAGCACGGGATCGGCTACGCAATTTGGCCATTGGTATGGCAGAGAGGTAAGTTAACTCCTTTGGTTATTTTCATTGGAAAACACCAAGGGCCTTTTCATTGATGCAGATAAATGATTCATCTGCACTCTAAGTTTTGCCGCGTAGCATTACATCAAACTCTGCATCTTATTTCATTAAGATGGTAGTAGGACAGCGTCAAATTCCTAAATGTCACATTTGACAACTTGTGCAACTTTATTTAACAATGATACTTACAAGCATGAGAGGATTAATTTATTTCTGTCAGATATTTCCTGGTTTTATGTGTAGAATTTGCATGATATCCTGATATAGAGATTATTGATTATTGCTGTCTTACAGATACAGGTCTGAGGGTGTGGAAGGCAATCGTTCCAACACCAGCACATTCTTCCTCCTTCTTGATCTTCTCACTTTCTTTGACTTCTACCACGCTGGCAACATGGATGAAGGCCTCTCAGTAAGTTGTCCTTATGTAATCCACTGTTGTGTGCAACATTGAACATTTGCAGATTTTGTTATTTCCTGTATGAAGCTGATATGTTTTTGAACATATATATATCTTCTCAGAAGAATTGAGTTTTGGTTTGTGTTTCAATTGTTTTATTCATCTGTTATTTCATTTTCTGAGGATAATATTCTAAACAATTGGAAGTCATTTAGATTTTGAGTGAAATATTATTAGAAGTATAAAATAAATGATGAAAATGATTTCAAGAGAAACTGTGTATACTTATTTGACATACAAAAATATAGTACAAGTACCATTTTCTGTTTCATGAGAAAATATAGTTTTTAATGAAAAATAAACTGGAAGATCGAAATTTCCACAGCAGTCGTTCACATTTAGAACTAAGATATTACAGGATGTGACATTTCAATGCACAAGGACTTGTGAAATCAGTTGTAATACAAGATAAAACACATTTTATGGTATTGTTTTACGTGATGTTTCAAACTATTCTTCTTAGGATGGCCAACTACATAAACCAGCCCATTAATACATCTTCAGCCTATAAATTTGTATTTAGGCTTGTACGTCAGATGTTTTATGTGTGGATAAAACATTAGACATTGTTAGTTACCAACAACTGTAATAACAAAGATATGTCAGTTACTACAGACAAAGAACTATTTCTGGGACATTAAAGGTCATTACATATAAACCTCAGAGTCTTTGGTCTTCTTTATGTGTTAGTGTTATGATGGTTGTTACAGGTGATGAAACAGTTGCAGTTACTTCCCCTTACAGCGGATGCTGTAGAACAGAAAGTGAACTCATTCCGACATTACACAGATGAGGTAATGCTTTTTGCTAATTTCATGTTAATTATGGTGGTATATCACATCTATGAATTTCATTAAACTTATTTATGCGCCTACCTGTATCCGTCCGTCATGTTACCGTCTGTTATCAGTTGGTATAATTTCTTGAGTATCTCTTTACAGATGTAGGTTATATATACTCCATAGTGTCAGAACACTTAATTCTACTCCTGATCATATTCTGGTTCTTAAAACAACCTGGGCATCATGTCTTATAGTCATTTTCTCTTTGTGTTCAAGTTTGGAATTACTTCCAGAATATAAAAAGATATTGTATTGCATCATTGTAGAATAGCTGTTGTCCATGTAAGATTGATTTTGATTAATTAAGGTAAATAATTTTCTTATGTTTGTTGTTTCAGGTGCGTAGATGTTTACCTGATATACTGTTAGCTACAATGAACATTTTACATCACCAATACAAAAATGCCAAGTAAGTTGAAAAAAGATCACTGTACATTATATTCTTGCCAGTGAAACATTAGAAATTTTACTTCCTGAAGATAGCAGTTTTGATTTTGAGTGCTTTCAGAATTACCTTTATTGCATTAGCCTAAGAGAATGTAATGTGTTATATTAAACTAGTAGTTTTGATTGTAATGGGGATAGTTCATTCACCTCCAACCCCCTCCGGCCCCACCCCCCTGCTTTATTGTAATTTTGTATACAGAATGTGACACTTACAGATAAGAACTGTTATAATCTTACTTTCAGTTTAAATTTGAATTAATACAACCCTAAGCAAAATACCAATACCATTTTATCTTAATGTTATTTGAAACACAAAAATAGAAAATATACTTGTCTAATTTTGTTTGGTTTCAGTTAATTTCATAAAAGTCAAATCTAGGAGGTAGATTGTTTGTGCATAGTATGATTTATGTTAATAATTTCTGAAGGTGTATCATTTTGTCAAAGTGAAAATAGTGACATTTTATTAAAATTTTTCGGAAACAATTGATTGATTTTCTTTCAGAAATACTGCTCCACAAAGTCCAGTAACAGGCAGAGGGTCAAGAGCAGGTGACGGTGGAAAGGAAACGGTGAGTGTCTTATTATATTTGAATTGGCACAACTTACAGTTGTATTCTCAGATATTTGAATTGATAATTTCTGCTGTTGCAGTTTATTTTATGGAGATCATTATCATCAGATGGGAAATAAGACAAAAGACAATTTATGTTTCAGTTCCTGAATTTTCTGAGAAGTCAGGCTCGCGCGCTGATCATGTTTGCTGGAATGTTGCCATACAGACTTCCAGGAGACACAAATGCACGACTCGTCCAGATTGAGGTCCTCATGAACTAGTATACATCACGTTTTAGAGGTCATAAGGTCAAAGATGTTTGGTGCAATAATACACTCTTCAGTGCCACAAGAAATGTATTGAGAAATAGCTTCAGTAAAACCATACTTAAATCACAGTATAAACAAATACCATTTCGTGTATTAAGCCCACGGGACAAACTAATAATGTCCGACTCAAATGAGGAAGTTAAGATTTATTACACAATAGTGATATAGCATTATTTGGTATTTCTGCTGAAAACACAATTGATGTGGGTGGCCTTTAAACAGGACACCTTACATAGATACATTTTTTATTGTTAATCTCAGATTATTTGAACAAAAGTATGTTGATTCAGAAATGTATGCTTGGTTACATTTTAAACAGTAAATTAGACTCTCTGTTCTGGATATAATTTAGTTGTTTATATCAATTTAAATTTGCTGATGCAAAATGATCTTTAAAGCATTCATATTTTTCACTGGATACATTGAATAACATAAACTAGCGATCAGAATGGACGATCTTGAATATGCTGTCGAGTAGCTGGTCAGTCATGGTTGTCTGTTTGTGGGAAGATATTTCCTTAGTTTTGACTTGGGATTTACAATGGTATAACTCGAGGTGCCTATATTTGTAAGAAACATTTTGAAAATATTGTTAAAAACATTTGACGAAAGCTAAATCTACACATTTTATATCATCATCATAAAACAGTTGACTTGTATTATTTAATGTGTATTAGGGTTTATGTGATAACATGTTAATCAAGTGGATGTGACGTTAAGTGAGCAACACATTGTGGCAGATTTCTACTGTGTGTAAGGGTTTGTAGGATAAAATGCTGGTAAAGTGGATGTGCAATTCAGTGAGCGACACATTGTGGGAGATTTCTAATGTTTGTATGGGTTTGTGTATCATGTTAGTGATAAAGCAAGTGACACTTTCATATGTGCGTTTGTGTGTGTGTGTGTGTGTGTGTGTGTGTGTGAGGGTGTGTGTGTGTGTGTGTGTTTGTATGGAATTGGGGCTGCAAGTGTTTGAGATTGGTTAAGTGAATGAATTGCTTTATGGATTTAGTGTAAATATGTCACAATGACTAGTGTATTTTAAGTTTAAACATTACTGAACTTGTGAAATTACTAACATTTTGTCAAAAAGATCTCATTGATCTGTTGGGATATTTCATTTTTGAAATCTGCTTCACTCTGGTATATTTCATGATATAAGGCTCATGGTGAAGGCCAATAGTTTGTTTTATGTTTCAATAAAACCTGACCAAACACAAAATTGTCTTTTAAAAAGAAAAAGGAAAACACAAAAATGGTAGACAGTGATACTATATATATATATATGGTTGTGTCGCTGCATAAATTGTGTCAGTTAAAATGTTACCCTGCTATCAGATACTGTCAAATAATATTTTTTGTGAGGCTAAAATTTTGAGGTTTGAGGTTTGCCAAAAATGTGCATCTTTGTTGACACATGATTTTGTAGTTAAATCTTGCTGGAAAAATGCACAAGTACTATTATCAACTTTTATCTGCATATCATTCATGGATATATAGTTCTGGATTTAGAGTACCCACAAATTTAACATAAATAAATCCCTAGTGAAAATTAATGATTTTAACAGTATTCAAGACTAGTCAACATGCACTAAATGATCAATTGATTTCTCTGCATTAAAATCTTAGGAATTCGAGACGATAACTATCTAGGACAGTGAAATATCATATTCTGAGATACTGTGAATTATTATATTACTGTGATGGGATGCAATTTGTTCAGTTCAAAACACGGTTATTTCACAAAATAAAGGAAAATATTTTATAATGCAATCTATGAAAGATACTTCACAAGATATTTCTATAATTCAATGATCTACTTTTTAACTATTTAGTAGAAATAGCTAAACAAGATCTGAACTATCTACTGCAAAATCATTAATATTTGTGGGAGTTTTATTTCCTATGATTTTGTTTGAACTTTTATTCCACAAAATTCATAAATCTGCAAACTGTTGAAATAAGCATAAGTGAATTTATTATGCTGAATTTCTCCAGCAAATAGTACTGTCTTGAAAAACCACATAAATTGATATATAATATTCCAGTATATCCATATTGGAGTAGTTGATGTTATACAAGTAAACAACACTTACTACAGTTGTGTTTACATTAAGGGATCTTTGACATTTTATCAGTGTATATGTAGTCTCTGTAAACAACAGGTCTGGTGACCATGTCGTGCTCTGTATAACAAAATAACAAATAGGAATTGAGTGTGACATATATAGAAACTTCACTATTATAAATACTGATACAGAGTCCTGTGATCAGAGTGACATCTGGTTGCAAATTTGAACACAAATGATGCTTGCAATGAGTTGGTTATTCAACAAATCAGGGTTCAGCTTTTAAATTAAGGCTTGCAAGAATATATTGGCATCATATTTGAAGATTTAATGATCAGAGAATGAAGAATACTTTAAAAACAGTTTATTGAGGTGACAATATGTAGATGTGATACATTCACATAACTGTGCTTAATTAAATTTTGTAAATTGTGAAAATTATCTGTTATTTGTTTTTTTTTTTTCATTTTTTTTTTTGTTAAACTCATGTGGTAGAATATAATGTGGGTATTACCGAAATATTGTTTTCTTCAAAACACTGCTCCATTTAATGCTTGAATGGGTTTCAACCAAATTTGGTCTGAAACATCATTGAGAGAGGGGAATCATTTCTTATATTCAAAAATTTTATTTGACCCATAGGGATTTTGGGGTGGGGGCCCAAAAAGAGAAGTAAGGTAACATTTTGATTTAAAATGTTACTCTTTCTTAATGCTTGAATTGATTTTAACCAAATTTGGCTGGATTTAGAAATTAGAGAATAATTTCTTAAATAAGGGTCAATTCAACCCCTAATGATCTGGGGATTGGCAGGACCGCAAATAGGAAAGTTAGTCTATATTTTGCTTTAAAATGCTACTCGTTTTTAATCCTTAAACAGATTTCAACCAAATTTAGTCTAAAACATCATGGAGAGCAGAGAATCATTTGTTAAATTCAGAAAGTTGATTTCGAATGTTAATAGGAATAATGTTGATCTGCTTGAAAGATCGTAGGGGTCAAATGTGTAAAAATGCTTGAGCAACTTCCTTTTCATAAGGGAAAGACCCGGGATGGTGATATTAGGCCTGTAGCCTGCTAAGATATAGGGTTAACAACTTCGTAAATATGAATGACATTGACCCACTTTCAAGGTCACAGGTATTAAATGTGTTAAAACGGTCTAATGACTTCTTCTTAATAACTAAAAGGACCAATGTGCTGATATTGGACAACTTTAAGGGTCACAGGGGTTAAATGTGTCCAAGCAACTTCTCTTCAGTAACCAACAGGCCATGGGTCTTGATATTGGGCCTGTAGCTTGCTTTTTTCTGACAAGCAATGCTCCGGAATAATGGCTATTGTGTAGTGTATATATAAAGAATATAATTTCAAATTTGCAGAAATGTCTAGATATACCAACCAGTATCATCTATGTAAGATGTGGAGTAGTTGAACAATTAACTTTAGGCCTATTTGGCTTCTTTCATATAAGTCTTTACAGTCTGATGACCGTTGAGGCCCAAGGGCCTCCTGTTTTGTTCATAGTCTTTTTTAACCCGCCATTCAAATCGCTCTGCATCCATGGTCCATGGTCAGTCTGTAAACAATATATATTATCGGTATTTCTTGAGAAAAACTGGATGGATCATTCTCAAATTGCGCATGTAGGTTCCTATTGATCTCTTAGTTGTGCCTATTTGATGGCGACAGGTGGCCATCTTCCATTTTTTCAATGAAGTTTGTTATCGCTATTTCTTGAAAGTATTGGATGGATCTCTCTTGGATTTCAAATATATGTTCCCTTGGTCTCCAGTAGTGCTAATTTTGGGGCTGATCAGAAAAATAAAATAGTTGACAGGTGGCCATCTTTGATTTTTACTTTGAAAGATTGTTATCGCTTTTTCTTGAGAAGTACTGGATTGATCTCTCTCAAATTGCATATGTAGGTTCCGCTTGGTCTCTACTTGTGTCCATCTTATTTTAGGGCTGCTCAAAAAAGAAGTGGCCGATAAGCGGCCATCTCGCTTTTTTATGAAGTTATCGCAATGACTTCAGATGTAGTATATGGATATTTCTTTAATTTTTTATATATATTCCCCATGTGCCCATTTGATTTTGGGTCTGATGAGGAAAAACAAAATGGCCTAAAGACGACCATCTTGGATTTTGACTTTGAGAGTTTGTTATCACTATTTCTAAAGAGGTACTCACCGGGTATCTCTCAAATCGCACACATATGTACCCTTTGTCCCTATGTCTCATCTCCTCGTGTCCATGTGATTTTGGGACTGGTCAGAAGAAACAAAATGGTTTCCAGGCGGCCATTTAGGATTTTGCAGGTTTAGAGTATCATCGCAATTTCTGTAAAGGAATGTTCAAATGTCTTATCATTGAGAGCAATTGCAGAAGAAGGGAAAAGATTTAACAAAGTGCAAATAAAGATCAAACAATGTTGGCCGCCAAGATCCCTCTGGGATCTCTTGTTTTTTTATTTTGTTTTTATTTAGTGTGATAATTCTCACAGTTGTTATATTGTTCATGGTTCTGATTGTTCATGTTCGTTGTTTCTTTGATCGTTTTCATTGTTTTTGTTTGGTTTAACGCTGTTGTGATTGTTTATATTTTTTTCTTTTGTTTTTGTCGATGTTACAACACTCAAGTTTAGATGTGCAGCTAGTCTCTGTATTCTATTCTAATTTACATAATACATTCAGGAAATGATATGGACAGGAACCGAAATATAGCATATTGCCCAATAGGACAATCCTTGACTTACCACACAATCAGTTATCCCCCTTATTTTCAAGAACATATATTACGTGTTCGTAACATGATAGTCATCACTAAAGAAATACATAACTAAGATTTTATATTTAACCAATGATCGTGACCAAGATATCACGTGACTCCACAATTATTTAACGGTTAAGAGATAGAAAATTTGACCTTAACCTTGTTCTCTGACCTTCGACCTGACGACCTTGGCATGTAATCTGGTGTCTTGGCATTAAATTTTGGTCAAATAAGTTACATGCCAAGGAAATGTATTTTTTTAGTAACGACAGCTATCAAATGCATTGTGGTGATTTAGTTACATGAACAATGCGTAAACAGCATTGGTGAAATAGATCTTGGTTTTTTCACACTTTTGATGTCTGAAGGTTGCTGTTATCAGAGAATGTAGGGTACGTGTATAGATAAAGAATTCATATGCTCAGTACATACAATACGTTTCTATTAATAAATTCAGAGCATTTCGGAAGTGTAGTTATGGGACAAACCACCCTATAGGTGTTGTTTCTCCTACCTGGTCAGGTGTCTTCACTGTTGAGCTGATTCAATTTGATTTTAATTGTCTTGTTACGGGCTTGTTATGTAAGAATCAGTTTAAAATTGAAGAAAAATTACTTGATGAAAGTTTGTGTGAATATCAAATAAAGTAAAATGAAAATAAAATAAAAGAAAAATGGAAAGAAGGAATAATTAATCCTATTATCAAGCCTAACTCTACAGACCCTAGGAACCCTTAAACATGTCATGGAATAACTCTTTTGTCGATACCATGTAAAGTGTATTGTGATAAAATTAATACTAGGCTTACAAAGTGGCTAGAACGGGAGAACAAACTCGCCGACGCTCAAAATGGATTTCGTAAATCAAGAGGGTGTCAAGAACATATTTACACTTTATACAACATCATCAACAACAGGAAAACAAAGGGCCAATCTACATACGCTAGTTTCATTGACCTACAGAAAGCGTTCGATACTGTCGACAGGGATTGTCTTTGGTTTAAGTTGCAAGCGTCCGGCATAAAGGGGAAACTCTACAGAGCAATCTTTTCACTGTATGAAGACGTAAAATGTCGTGTACGGATAAACGGAACTCTCACTGACAGCTTCGATGTACGGAGGGGCCTAAAACAGGGATGTTTGTTATCGCCGGCAGCCTTTTCATTGTATATCAATGACCTAGTGGAAGAACTTAATAATTCAGAATGTGGCGTCACTATCGACACAATAAATGTAAGTGCTCTCTTCTACGCGGATGACATTGCCCTCATCTCTTCAACAGAAAGTAACCTTCAGAAATTGCTAAATATTGTGTCAAAATGGTGCTTCAAATGGAGAATCGCAATAAACACAGCAAAGTCAAAAGTAGTTCATTTTCGCTCCAAATCCAATACGCGAACAGCTTCCGTATTTACTTGCGGCTCTAACGAGTTGGAGATATGTAGTACCTACAAATGCCTAGGTCTATGGTTCGATGAACATTTGGATTTAAAACTGGCAGTAAAGGAACTTGCGAAAGCGGCCAGCAGAGCTTTAGGGATGTTGACGTCAAAGTTTATCGCCGCGGGTGGTATGAGTTATTCAGTTTATACAAAACTCTATAAAAGTTTGGTAGAACCTGTTTTATTTTATTGTTCAGCCATTTGGGGTCAGACCGAACATCGCGTCATCAACAACGTTCAGAACAGAGCGATCAGACTCCTTGGGAGTGTAAAAAATACGTCAAACTACGGCAAAAGAGGAGACATGGGGTGGATGTTATGCCTGGCCAAACAGCATATTGAGGTATTCCGACTGTGTCTTAAGTTAAAATCATTGTCGGCGGATAGATAGTTATTTACAGTATGTAAATGGTCTGAAAGGTATGGTAGATCCTGTTACTTTAAAGCGAAGAAACTTGCGAAGAAATATAATGTGTATGACGTCATTAATAATGCTACCCGTACAAGTACTGCAATACATACAATTAAGAAAGCTGTATTCATTCATGATGAACAGTCGTGGTTTACCCAATTTTTGGAACGATATTGGTAAAGAAAACGGCAACAAACTTCGGACTTATAGAACTTTCAAAATGGATCTGAAAACTGAAAATGATGTTACACGTATTATGCATAGAGGCCACCGTAGCGTTCTGGCTAAGCTGCGCTGTGGCAGTTTGCCTTTGAATATAGAGACTGGACGTTATAATAAGCCGCCTACGCCTCTATATGAGAGAACTTGTCCTTTTTAATGCTATTGAGTCAGAAATTCATTTTATTTGCAACTGTAAAGTATATTGTGATTTAAGGGAAAATTTAATTTTCGATAGGGCTAATGTTTTATGTGATAATTTTAAAGCCATGAGTGCAGAAAATTAATTTATCGTTTTAATGAATTGTGATGTTTTACAAATTAATCTTGGAAAATATGTATTCTTAGCGATGAGGAGAAGGCGGTCACTTTTAAATAATGGATAACCGTTCTAAGTATAACTGTATATTTTATGTATATAATCGTGTCTCATAAGCCAATTAATGGCTGGGCATCTTTACTATGATGGAATATATTTTAAAGAAACTGTATATATTGTGTAAAAATGTGTGAAACGGAAATAAAATAATAATAAAAAAAAGTAAAAAGTGTCGATGGA